ATGACACTTATTTATTGTGTTAAAATTAATAAATGCAACTTTTTTCAAATTGATTTCGTAAAAATTATTTCTGGGTAAAATCAAATATTTCAAGCTGATATTAATTGAATAATGGTTAGTCAACAAGGTGACAAATGATAAATGCACATAGATTTATAAATTTTGTTAAATTATTTCGAACACATCATTCACCAATATAAATTTGTATTAATAAGCTTGAAAACTTAGTAATGTATATTTATAGCAGTTATAGTGTTAGGGATTTTAGAGAGGTTTATTTTACCCTAAAATCAAATATATTACTACAATACTAAATATTTCAAACAAATGAGCATAAAATTGGGTCCTATTATAATGACTCAAACAAAATTTATAAATTCAGAATTAAGTTAAAATTATTGCTATTTTAGATGAAAAATTATATTTCGGGAGTTTTTTATTCATCCCTTTATTATTATTATTATAATTATTATTATTAAATTTCCTATTTGACTGTCGTCCCAGTTATTTGATAAATAGTTAATTAAGATACTAATTGGCTTATTTTTAGATTTTTGCTATATTTTAAACGTTGTAGAACTATTACAAAAACACATAATAATTTTTAAAAAAATTAGTTTTAATTTTTTGACCTTAAATTATATTTTGGTAAACTGCAACAATGACTGTATTCGTATTAAATTTTTACAAATATATGTCGATCCAAAACTATGAAAATTAACTCGTTACCTGAAATAAAAAATATTCTTTGAATAACCTTGAAGTTATAAATTAAAATATTGCTACTTATTGGGCAGCTATATTTTTTGACGGGTATTGAAAATTATAACATGGTTGGTAACCTATTATCAATTGTTGTAATTCAAACTTTAATATGAGGAAGCACTTTTACATAGGATCTGTATTAATATTAAAATATTTGTGTAAATAACTTATTAAAAGAACTAATATTTTAACACAAACGAAATGTATAAATATGTTTTGCAGTGAAACATGTACGTTTCACTGCCAGTTCAAGGCCAATATATTACTATAATATGAATAATTAATTATGCCTATAAAATTCTATACTAAAAGTATCATTATTTTGATATCATACCTTCTCATTCTAGGCAATACTCGATTGTTATTTTTTTCCCACTTAATATTAGTTAAAATTAAAATTTTTTTTTGTATTTCAATAAAACGTGGTATAACACGGAAGTATATACAAATATATCACTATTAAAAATGTATATTAATTATTTATTTATGGATAATCTCCATTTTACTATAATATCAACATTACGATACTTAATAATATTTTTATTTGTATTTTGCGGATAAAAAGTGTGGACATTTCTTGTATTCAAACAATTTACTTACAATTATATTTATTTGAGTATTTCAAGATAACTAATATTATTTTCCTTCGATTTTTATAAAAATCTCATCTTAAAAAATGATGAATTTATTATAATCTGAATACAATTTTTTATAAATATTACATTTAAATGATAAATATCAAACTAAATTATTTTGTATTAATTCTAGTTCGTTATTTTGCGTTATTGAAACATCATACCATATAATAGAAGTATATTCTAAACAAGATCTTACCAAAGCTGATTTTAAATTGATTATAATGTATCCGGGTATAAAAACTTACAACGATTTCTTTAAAAAATTTTAATTAGAGTTTGCTTTAATTTTTTTGATTTGTACATGTGCTTCAAAGGATAATTTAACATCAAATAATACATTCAAGTCTTTAATATTGTGTAATGTATTTAGAATTATGTTCTTAACCATATAACTACTTATTACTTTTATTTTTATTAAAGTAAAAGAATATTTAGAGATCTTTATGTTTAAATTAATTTAATTTTTATAACACCAAATTATAAAGTTCTCTATATTACATTGAAAATATATTGTATCAATTGATTAAAATTAATTAATCTGCAAATAATAAAATGTTTGAATATTTATTTACAATAACTATATCGTTGGCATATAACAAAAAAATAAACCAGATTAATAATCACCTTGTGGAATGCCAGATATAACATTTATAGTACTCGAGTTTAAATTTTTTATAAGTTACTGTTTGTGATCCATTCGTTAAAAACTAATGAAACGAATATAGCAACAAATTTAATATTCCAATGACATTTAATTTGCTTATATAAGCAAATTTATGTTAATTTTGTCAAAAGCTTTTCCCAAATCAAAATATATAACACCAACCTGTTTATTAAATGAAAATGATTCAATTATAATTTGTTTGAAAACTGAAATTATAGTAATAGCGGAACGTATTTTTACAAAATCCATGCTGTTGTTGAACTACAACATTTTTCAGTATTGGTTTAATTTTGTTATAATCTTTGAAAATATTTTTAGTGATAAAGAAATGTTAAAATTGGTTTATAATTAAAAACATCTTTTAAACTTAGACTAAAAACACTAATTTGGTAGTTGTTGTATATCAAAATTATTTTCAGCTAATCGATCTTCAAGTATATTATAATTTGGAAAATCCTTTATTTATCCTTTTTCTTTGAAGAATTGCCGAAATAGTTTAGGATTGACTTTTATATTTTTCTTCAATACTGTAGAAATTTTACTTTCTATAGATAGATGGATTCATTATAATTTAAATTATTTAATTATTATTGTAATAATAAATATAAAGTGAAGTATGAAATTGGTCAACTTTGACAATAGAATATATATCTTTATAAATTGATATACTTTCATAGTTTGTAATTACTTTACATAATACTTTATTATTATTTGAGTACTGATATAATTCAATTAATTTAAGTTAAAACTTATTAATTGTTGTTGCAAAAATTCTTCGGATTGAGAAAAATAAATAGATAGTAAATTATAATCAACAATTAAAATTAAATCTGCAAGAAGATAGTTAAGAAGAATACTTTCTACTATTTTAAAATGATACAAAAATAATTGCCTGTTAACATAAATATAGCATCAAAAATTATTATTTTATTACAAATTTTCACTAAAATAAATATGTGTTAAAAAAATACATTACCATTATCAGAGAACTGATTTGTACTTGAATTTTTATCAAATCTGTAAATGCTGTATTCTTGTAATACTAAATGAGATGAGTTAATCAGAGATTTTCAGATAGCTCAATTTAAAATTCCTACTAAATCAAGTTTTCAAATTTATAATGACATTGTAATTAGAATCCTTACAATACATGAAGGTTAAGAAATAAAATTTATTTAAAATGACCGTAAATTCAAATTAAATTTGAATTTCTTAGTATATATTTTCTAGTTTTAAAATTAATGGGTTATTACTATATTTTTTTTTATGTTAAACAACAACTAAGTAACTTAATTTTTTTATTATAAAGATAGGAAACCTGTACAGCTTGGCCATACTAAATGGAATTTCTATGTCACGCACAAATGCATGGTGTGTTCAAAATTATAGAGACCGTCCATATAAATATTATATTTTAAATACATTTATTGAAATGTAGGCTTATTTATGTAAACATCTATTAATATAGTAAATAAATATTAATGTATATTGTTATTTTGCAAATAAATTGTAAATTACATTTTTAATAAACATATTGAAGATCATACTTGGCCGATCCCAAGTAGTTGGGATTAAGGCGATGGGAAAAAAGAAGGTATTGGAATTCACTCCCATATATTTCTAACTTTAAAAAAAATTAGTAGATCGGTATACAATTAAAGTTGATATAATTTTTAGTAGTTAGTTATAGTACAAACCTGGTTATCGATCAGTCAAAATTATATTTAAATCATTCTCCAATTAAAAGTAAAAAATATTAAAAAGATCCTATTTAACTAACGAAAGTTACTCGTTAAATATATCTTTAGGAATAATTACATCTCATAATAAATTTAATAATTACAATGTTTTATAAAAATTAATTAAATTTTAATTTGTAAATTTTTATGGAAAAATTATTATTTGACAAAAATATAGGTAACTAGGCTTCGCCCCAGACCCGGAGCCCTAATAGCCTTCGGCAAGTAAGCCTCTTCGGGCAGTCATCATAAGTAGGCCACTGATTCCGGTAGGGGTACCCGACTACGCCGGGCACGATAAGTGTTTTGCAGAAAAAATATTACATCAGAATCAGTGTAACAAAAATATATTAAAAATGTTATTATTAAAATCGAGAAAATTCAAAAAGAGAATATAGTAAAATGTATTGGGTATAAGGTTGACGTTTGTTAATGAGGTATTCCCTTTAGGCCTATTCAAAAATTATTTTAGGAGTGTATTTAATATTTTTTACTTTGTTAAACATGTTATAGAATTTTTTTTGCTAAAAATTTAAGTAATGATGAAAAAAAAGTACATTAGGCCCTTATTTATTAGAAGTTGACTAAAAAAATATTGATAACGCTGGTTCAAGGAGGGCCCATATCTCCCTTAAATACACTCCTGGTATACACAAAATTATTAATATTCTAATTATAATAATTGTGTTTATATTATAGAATAATTTAAAAAAAATTCAGCAGGTTATTATACGTGAGACTATGTAAAAAATTTAATTTTGATAAAAATATTGGTAACTGCGATTTAACGTTGGACAGCATAGTTGTCATAGATGAATCCCAATTTAAACGATAAACTCATAGACTCATACATCATATATGAGAAAAAAAAGGTTGTTAATAATGTACTGTTCTGATAATGAAAGTACAAACTTATATAATTATATACGTCTTGAAATTTATATATAACATATAATATTCCTCGATAAAATATAGTGCTATGTGCAAATGCAAAATAAGTGTCCTAATAAAAATACATATTACACCATATAATTAAGGTTCATAATAAACGTATGAGCGGAAATGAATCAATGCGCATATTAAAACCATGCGCGTGGACTTCAAAAAAAAAAAAAAAAGCTAGTAAAACGGTGAAATATGAACGGATTGAATTGATTTTTTTATCATATCTTAGGAATGTTATTGGGCGGGTCTGATGAAAATTCAAACCTTAAGTCGTAAGTCGTATTATATAATAATATAAGATATAATAGGACGCGTACATGTATTATTAGCATACATAAAAATCGTTATTTTCCGTTAAAATTTGATAAATTTCAAATGCTCGTAACGGCCAGAGCAAGCTGTCCTCTCAAATACACAGAGTCTATATAGTAAGTACTACATGAAAATCTATTATCTCATTTACAAATTAGATTATTTTCAAATATCTTAATTAAAAAAAAGGATATTGTTGATAAATTTACAAAATGTCTGATTAAGTTATTAGATATTTTGTTATTTGTAATAACAAAATCAAATGTTATTTTAAATCATTTTGTTTAACAGATTTTAGTAAAATATAAAGCTTTTAAGACATTTTAAACATGAAAAATTATATAAATGATAATCTCATATATCAATTTTAAAAACTCATATTATGTTACACCAATAAAAATTAAGTGCAAGATTTTTTCAAAAATTTTCCTATGACATTTATTGTGATAATAATTTTAACAAAATTTGTGAGATTCAATAAACATATAATCTTTGATTCTTATTTATAATACATTCAATAACTAAATTTTTGAACTAGTGTCAAGTATATTTTAGTACAAACAATTCAGTTTTGTTCAACTAAAATAAATAATTTTGTACTGAGCTGTAACATTTAGAGTAAGTAGTTAAATTGAACTTGGTTATGAATTAGTAGTGCAGCATTAAGAATAAGGATCCTTAGTAATTAAAATTAATAGTAATTTAATATCTATATTAGAAATGTGAACAAGAGGTAATTTCATAATAATTAAAAATTAATTCCAACATTTTTATGACACATGAACAATTCCTAACTATGAGTGTACAGTATATACTCTGTCTTTCTAATTGAGATAAATAGTAATGAAAACTGATAAATATATTTAAAAGCATAATTAGAAAAAATGTTCCTGAAGAATTCGTAGCCATACGCTTCTCTACGTCTACAAGGATGTACAATTATTCACAAATTTGTCTTCGTTTTAAAAAATATGTTTAAGCGAATATGTATTTTTCATTTGCCTTCTTCAAATTACGCAAATTCATCTACATTTTATAGTATCCGTTTAATAAATTATAAATAGATAAACTTAAACGGTATATATTTGTAGAAAGTTAAATATGGCATCAACATAATAGGGAATTGCATTTGACGTAAACATGACATTAAATTTTCAAGGTTCACATGCTTTAATTATCATCCTTGGTAAAAAAAAATGAGGACTTTTCAATAATAAATTGAATTTTTATTTTAACATGTGATTAAAACCCATTAAACAATAATAATTAATATTGATTAATTTCATTGTATTTAGTATAAGAATAAAATTCAATATAAAGTAATTTAATAAAGCTAATTATATAATTTATCATTTTACTTTCAAAACGAAAAAAATATACTTCCTTCTTATATAGATCCACTACACAACGTATTAAGTATTATTATATGAGTGAACCTTATTATTATGATATCCGCTCATATATAATTGCTATATTAGTTGATAAACATAAAAAAAAACAATGGATAGAAATTTTTTTATTTTGCAATACTTAGTTGTTCGTTAATTATTTTAAAATAATATTATATTGATAATAGATAAATCAGGACGTAGGGAATTTTAATTGAGACGACCAAATTCATTTGATCAACTTCTTGGCTGGAAGCTATCACTCTTGCCATCCATTAAGTTATGACCCTGTTAATAAACTGCAATAGTAATTTGAATAGATGTTATTATTTTAGTAACAATATTTATAATTTATTTGAAAGATTAACAATAATTTTATGTTGATTGTTTTTAATCGTATATATAACTTTATTTAATTACAAAAAAATTTCAATGTAATGATCAAAAATATCTATAACGAAAGAGTGTAGTGTCATTTTAATTTTTACAATTATTTTCTTATCTTATAATTTTTATTGAATTTTTTTAAAAAAAAGCATTGAATATTGTAGAAGGAAATAGGATTAAATTAGGGCACTCAATTATTCATGTAAAATCGAATCAATTAACTGATATATGCATGACGTCAATGTATTTAAACAATTGAATGAATTAGTAGAATCAACATTTGACCACATGCGTAATTAAAGGGGTGAGACGGATCTTTTAAACAAAAATAATTAAATTGTGAAGAAACGTTTTTTTTCACTTTGGTGTTCTATTGGCTATGTCACCTCCAAAAATTTCATTGAGTCTTTTGACAGGAGCCCTAGGTAGCCCCTTATGTAGACACGTCACTAAATTTAAACCAATTTTTTGCACTGATTTTAAATGTCTAAACTTTTTAAATTTTTGTAATTATTGAGATTACCTCTAATCTACGATGGAGTGAAAGGTGAATCTCTGGTGCCATGGCTCATGTCTTTTTTAAATAATATAGCAATAATAAAGATTTAAATAATGTAAACGTTCTAAACATTATCAAATATTGAAATTAAATAAATGTGTCATAGGTAGTTTTGTTTAAACCCTTCTAGTATTCAAGTTTTCAATTGTAATTTATAACTTGGAGGTAATTAGAACGCCCTAATATTAAAATGTTACAATTTCTAAACCCTAATGATAAAAATTTAATGAATAAAAACTTATACTAACTTTTAAATAATAAAAATACCTTTTATTTAAAGCTTTAATTATGTAAATATAAAGCTTGACAATTATAAATAATATTTAATTACCGTAAGATAGGCATGTATTTAAGATGTCATTTTGAGTGGAAATCCAGACAAGGTTGAACTGAGAGTCTCATGGCCTCTAGTTAGTTACCAAAACATTTCTTCTCTTCAGAGGCATATTTAGATATTTACTATAAAAGGGTACGACTTTCAGAGCTCTATGTTCTGAAAGTTATACAGAAGCTTTACCCAACAACTTCCCCTAATTACCATAGTTTTATGACGATGGAGGATGGATTCTGATTTTGTACCCTCTCGTAAATACGCCACTATTTCTCGTTGGTATATATTAATTAAAAAAATGCATGTATCTACACCCAGAGAAAAACCTCGATCTATATAATAAATTCATCGTTCAATTTGATAAATATATCATTACTATTGAATCTATGATATATTTATCAATATGATAATTTTTTTTTCTTGTCTTGAACAATAATTATTTATAAGAATAATTATTTTGTTCGTATTAATAAAACATTATCATAAACCCTTGATCAAATTTCTCTATCAAAATCGATTGAGGTTTTTCTTTGGGTGTATAGAGGAAAGAAATTACTATCTGAGTTACAGGCTATCTCAAGATACCTCTTAACATTTAGAGACTAGCCATAGTACATGACTATCATTTGGAACAATGCCCCTACACATAAGATTCATGGAATTTCATGGTGGCGATATATAAATGATATATACAGAGTGATTACTTAACTCCACCAAATATCTTCGAAAATAATAGAGCTAATCATTATTTTATTTTTTAAACAATAATGGATCTTTATTAAACTGTTTTATACAAAAAAAAGGAATAATTTTCCCTCATTCTGTATACGCCAAATTCATATTAATTTTCGATATTCAAATGGCAACCCTAATTTTTTTTTATATCATCAGATTTAAATAGTCAAATATAAATTTTTTTTTCAACTAAATAAATTGGATGATAAAAAAAATGGGGTTACCATTTGAAAATCGAAAGTTATTGTTAATGTAGGGTATAAGGGATGATAGAAAATTATTCATATTTTTGTATAAAACAGTTCGATAAAGATTCGTTATTGTTTAAAAAATAAAATAATGATTAGCTCCATTATTTTTGAAGATATTTCATGAGGTGGAGTTAAGTAATCACTCTGCATATATATATATATATATATATTTATTAATGTATTTATACATGTATAAATAATGTATACATATGTTATTAAACCGCCCTATCAGTTAACGTAAGCTGGGTTTGCGTCTGTAAACAACACAATTTACTTCATAAATCATAAAAAAACTGTTATGGAAGTTTTTAACGATATTGTAGGTCATTGCGTTGCCATGAATTCTACTAAATATAAGTATTAAAATACAAAATATCAAAGTATTTTAGATATTACTTTAATTGATGCAACAATCAACATAATATCATGGAAAAATTGACCTCGACCATGTAACGTAATATAAGCAAGGTACTCAACATAGACTAATTAGTAATCCACATTATACCTACTTGCGTATTGGCATAAAAGAAAAATAAATTCTATACTCTGATTATTTTCACATTTAAATCAATTTTTCTTTTTTTTGTAATTGTCATGATGAGCGTATCATTATGAATAAATGAAAACGATAATTTAGTAATAATTTTTATGTTAATAGTTATCGATCTAGCCTTATTGAATAAATCTAACGTTTTTTATTTATAACGGATTACTTAAAGTTTGCACTAAAAATATAAAAACTTACTACGACTGTGAAGGTGCATTACGTTGTAAATATATTTGTAAGCAAACATTAAAATTAAAATACATATAAAACTTATGAATATAATAGGAGATTTCCGTATTTATTTTATATATAAACATTATTAAGAGTCACATGAAAATAACAGTTTATTTTTAATGATGATAAAAATTTAAGCTCTTGAATGATAGGTTAAAATTTTTTTATTTACTTATTAATTGATAAGAGATATGATAAAAAAAAACCCATCACAGGGGGGTCGCGGCACAGTGGTGACGTGGCATAGTTGGATCAAGTATAATGATATTTGACAGTGATTAAAATCACTATAAAAAAAAAAACGCTTCGATGCAAATCTTTAGATAGGGTTTATTTTTAAAAAATTGGTGGATTATTCCAAAAGCTACATGATCTGCTAGTTCCTTATTAATATCCTGATTAAGATAAAGTATGTCGAATGAAAAAGGGATTATTAAAAAATATTATTTCTCATAAAAAAATTGTGTTGATCCATACACTTTACAATAAGTTATAGTATTATAAAGTTAAATATGTAAAAAGTAAAATCGAGAATTTTCACACAAAAATAGCATTTGGTAACTAATTTCACCCTGAAGACAAAATAAAGTCCGAAAATTTTTTTTCCATAATAAAGTATATTACATTAGCTTTAATTTAAGATATATATAAAATTGTCACACTTTCCGGAACAGTTTCAAAAGTCAAGTTGAAAAAGTTAATTTTTTGTAAAAAAGTTGTCATTTTAAATCCCCCCCTGTGGGCAGGTTTAGGGTCAAATTAAGGTTTAAGGTTTAGGGTCAAAAAAATTTACCAAATGATAGGTAATAACATTATGCATCTATTAAAAAAAAAGTTATATTGATTTGTTCAATTTTAAAAAAGTAATGGCAGTTTTAAGTAAAAAAAATTTTAAAAATTTAAAAAATTAGCGATTTTTATATTTGTAATTTTTTGGAGATTTCTCCCATTTACGGGGAACGAGGGAATTTTTTTCAATTTTTGAGGGTAATGTCTTCGACTAGATACGATCTGTGATCTTTTGACGTATCGTTGAAAGAAATCGGTTTGGTGAGAGCTGAGAAAAAAAATTTTATTTATTCTTATTTATTTTTTCGACTTAACAATTTTAGTGTGCTTTATAATTTTGGTATAAAATAGTGACAGTTAGAGATGCAACTAGGGGGGGGGGCAAGGCTAAATGTTCCCAATTGACGAATTTAGATTATTTATGAAACTATATAATTCATTACATAAAAGTACTCTTTGGGGCGGGAAAATTACAATAGCACCCCTAAAAACTTGTTTTCATTATTTATTATACAGAGTGTTTAGTAAGTAAGGACACAGGTTAATTGTTACTCTATATATGCAAATTCAATGAAAAGTAGTTATTCAAATTAATTTTCTAAAAATATTAAACTTGATCGATGAATTTAAGATAAAAACTTCAAAATTCTAGTTAATAAATAAAGTTGAGCACTCCCAACAACTTTTTTTAATTTTTAAAAATTTATAGTTTAAATTATTTAATAACAAATTTAAGATTTTTGATCTCAACAAATTTTAAATTTCCTTTATAGTATCAAAATGATAATAATAATAATCAATAATAATGATAAAACTAGTAATATTTTTTTTTAATACAAGATAATTGATAGACTATGCCTCACTCAATATTTTTAAAAGTATAAAAAATATTAAATTTTCTATATTTAGTAGTTAATAGAATACTATGTTCTATAATTTTCAAAAAAAATTAGATCCTCATGTTTTAAAAATATGTCATGCCACAATGCCGATTTAATCATAATCATACAGCAAATCAATAATTTGTCATTGACCACTAAATTTTTTCTAAAATAGTAATAATTTTGAATATTATTAGAAAATAAAATATTAGAAATTGATCTATCTTAAATGTTGACTAGACGATGACAACTTTTGTATAAATATTTCATAAGTTATTAACATTTTTAAATGTAAACTAGAGGTTAGGTATGCTTGATGTGATTTTTACTATTGTGCCTTTTTCTACCATGCTACTCCTTTACTAAGTATAAAAATATTCATAACTTATAACTTACTGGTTTAATAATTGTTATCAAACAGTCATTTCCTTAGTTCAATCATTTTCTATTACATGAACTAATTAAATATATTTATATATTGCTATTAAGGAAAATAAAGTTGCTATCTATATGAGGGATAGGGGATAAACCTAAAAAAATATTTAATCACTTATAAATTAAAAAATAAAATAGTACTAAACAAATAAAAATTATTTTTTGAATTATTATTTTAGGAGAAATTAAGTGGTTAAACGATAAATAAATAACCTTGAAATATAAACGTTAATACTGTGTCTAGAAAATCTCGAAATTAACTGAAGTTTATTTTAAGGATTTTTTTTTTTTGCAGTGTGTTTATATGAAATGCAACAAAAATTTGTAGTATTGTCTGACTTAAAAATAATCCCGTCTTAATCAAAGTTCAAAGAATCGTTTGGCGGTGGACATGATTTTGGTAACAGCAGTACAGTGATGCTTAAATCATGGTTAACCTATGTGAATGTATTTTTCTTAAGTTGGTACTGATTAGTATTTTTCTACAATAGTAGTCTTATCATAATATCAATCAAAGGGCAATGGAATGTTCATATTTATCAAATGAAGTTAGCAATTTAGTTTTTATAGTTCATTATAATTTTTTTATTATATACATTTAAGTTAAAATTATTTTTATATATTATATGTAGATTAAAGTATAATTCAGGCATAATTATATTTCATGCATTGTAATTATCACCAACACGTTTCTGCCACCACCAGCTGTTGCTATTGAATGTCATTAGCGGAAGCAACGAACAACTTCATTGTATTATCTACAAGTAGTGAGTTGCAATTATGAACTGGTAGCACGTAGTTAGAACGTCGCGAGTTTTTTTATTTTGTTTTGCTCAAGTAAATTATTGCCGCGACATTTTCGATTTGAAATTGTTTTTACTATTTCTATAGTGGTTACTTTTATACAGTGTTAGTTAGCAGTTAATAGTTATTGTATCATCAAAAAAGAAAAGAAGTTCAATAGTTAAATGTCACCAACTTATAGCCACATTTCCTTTTGATAAAATTAGATTTGTGAAATTTTGTATTGTATTAAACTGCTTTTTGAGCTTAGCTACTTGAATTAAGTATCATGTAAGTGACTTAACCTTTCACTGCATGGAAGTGCAGGCTTACAAAAAAAATTGCTTTAAATTTCATGTACAATAAGGGCCCACAATTGGGATTGTTTTAAAACACATATTTTTCAAGGTCAAAATTTTAACTCTTGCAATGAAGAGTTAATTTGGTATTAATTAATATTATTGATCTATCAAATATTACTCTGACAAATTATGTTTACCTTCATTAATAAATGATAATTCTTGATGATTATAGATCATATAATTGATATATTAAGAATTATCATTCATTTACAAAGGTTTCATAATTATGATGTAAAATTCATTAATATTATATTTAAATAATTATTTTTCTTTATTGAGTAATCACTAAAATAATTTAAAGTAAAAAAATCTTTATGGTCATTAATCTGAAATTATATATTTGAATTTTTAATATTAATTTGCATTACTCCCAAATAAAATTTATCCTTACAATTATGTTAATAATTATTTATCAACAGTTTTTACATTATTTTTTAACATTTAAAAGGTACAAATGCTAAAAAAATACTAGTAATTTGTTTTAAACATTTCTCAGATTCAAATATTAATCAAGTTATTAATCTTATATTCAATGTATGTAAAAAAGTTAAATGAAATATTTTACAATTATAGAAATAATTTAAAATAGAATAAAAAAAAGTTATATTATCATTAAGTTAACTGTAATTTTCCTGTTTATTATTGATTATTTTACTCAAAAATAACCTAATTTTATCAGTACACAATGTATTTAAAGTTTATAAAAAAAAAACTTAAAAATTCATTAATATATTGGATTAGGACTGTTAAAAATTAATTAGTTTTTTATACTTATATCATAGTATGATAAAATAATAAAACCTTTAAAAGTGCTTCTGGTAGATTTTTGGATAATTTAAGTAAAATATTGGTCCGGATAATTATAGTTCAAGCTGTTTTTATTTACTAGTTGTTATTATCATTTTATTATTATATCATCTTCAATAGTACATTATAAACCAGTAGGGTGTTTTATAATGGCTAAAACTATAATAATAAATTATTAAAAACAAAAAAATACACCAAAACTTACAAAAAAAAAAAAAGAAAATTAAATTTAAGCATTTTCTTCTTGCATAAGTTTACTTTTTAAATATTGATTAAATCACACAACATTTAAAACTACTTTAAATTTTAAGAATAAATATTTAATTATATAGTATTAAAAGTATTGAGACACCTCAAATTATTTTTGATTGTCAATCCCCCATATATATTTTTTATATTTATTATTACAATATTCTTTGCAAAAATGTCATAAAAAAATGGAAAAATAATTTTTTATATTAATTTTTTTTTAAAGTAACAACAATCTTTACAGTATTATTTTTTACAATGAGCTATTGTATTAAAATTATAATTAGCTGTGAATAGCATGATAAGATACCATCCAGTGACTTTTAATGATCATTTATGTTATTAATTAAATTAACATGAGAGAAAAAAAATAAAGTAAATTTAAAGTATTTGTTTATATGAGTAGAAATACATTATAGAAAATAATTATTTAATAACATGTATATTTGAGATGACAACATAATACGACAAATGAACAATAAACAAAAATAAATAAATAACTTTATTAACAATAATTATTAATAAAATATTTCTATTATTAAATTAATTTAATTTTTTTTAATATTAAATTATTATCCACTCAACAAATCTTAATTAAAATATACACTCTTAGTATGGTATTAAAGCTTTATATGTATTGTTAATATCATACAAGAAGTGACTTAATGGAAATTTGTTCATTTATTTAAAAATTTTTTGATATATTTTTTTTATTAGATGTTTGAATATTTTAATTTATATATGATTTAAATATTAAACAATATTAAATCACTTAATTTATTTTAGAGTTTTTAAACTTTTTATAGTATTTAAAAAAATAAAATTTTATAAAAATAATGTGGCCAATTTTTGTTAGTTTGTAATAGTATACTTTTTCTATTTATATTTTAATGAGTAATATAAATTATGTATTTTTATGTTTATTTTTAAGATTAATTACTTGTGAAAACTAAAATGGAAAACTCTGGAAGTATTCGAGTTGAACAAGCTGTTGTATCAGATGAGCCTCTAATCAGTGCTTTAGATATTGCCCTTTTTGTTGTAATAATGACAGTAGCATACTTTTGGTACTTCAAAAGAGAAAAACAATCTAATGTTTCTGAAAAAAAACTTTATACTATTCAGTATGTGTTGAAATAATTATTTATTTATGAACTTACTAATTTTAAAATTGAGGCATTGCACAGAAAAGTTAGAAATCTCCTTTTTTTAAATAATTTCTATTTACAAAAAATTTGGCTTTTTATAACCAATAAATGTGGTATTTTTTTGGAAAATTTTTATTTATGTAAATTAAAAATAAATTAAGATGTATTTCAATATTGTAAAATGTAGAAGAGGAGATTGCTGACTTTGACTCAATTGTAATTTTAACTATCATTACACTTGAAATCTTCTTCTTCCTCTCCTTAATCCCAACTACTTGGGGTCGGCCAATCATTACATTTTAAATAAATATATATATACAAGGTGATTTTTTTAACACTAGCTACTCAATTTTTTTGGCTTTTGTTATATATGTATCTCCATTTAACTGTCATAAAATATTTTTTGTATTTATCCCATATGTCTTATAAGGGTGTCAACTTTATTTTTTAATGGAAAAATACATATTTAACTAGCTTATAAAATATAAAATGATCTAATTAAGTAAGAGACTTGTTGATAACAACTTTTGGACCAGTATTTCAATAGTTATTAACATTTTTTATACATTGGTGGGAGGAGGAGTGAGGTCAAGAAATATCTAATGATAAAGATAGTAGCATTCACTGCTCACTTTCAGTCATTAGTTTAGATTGATAATAACTTCTGAAGTAACCTAAAAAAGCCAAAACAATTGAGTAGCAAGTGTTTAAAGAATCACCTTGTATGTATATATATATTTAAAATATAATAATAGTTATATAATAATAATTACAATGGGCTAATTTAAATTAGTGCATTATCATAAAATGGATATCTCAATTTAAATGAGTAAATTGTATTGATTTGTATTTGTATTTCATAATAACTAATTTGCATAACTATAACCAAAAAATATTCTTAGGATTTGAACTTTAACAAAAATTTAAAATATTTTTTTCCTTTATCAAAAAATATTTATTCATTTTTCAATTTAAATTTGTTATTTTAGTTTCAATAGTTGCTCAAAAGTTATTTATAATACAGCAAATAAATTTAAAATATGTTAAAAATAAGCTATACAAATTTTAAATAAATTTTCTTGGATAGAATTTAAATATTAAGAAATTTCCAAATTAAATATAAAATGAATGCTTCCAAAAGTAGTTTTTTAACAATAATTTTAGGTCTACAAATAGTCTAAATTTCATATTAATTAAGAATTAAACTGCATTGAAGTTTATTTATGAATTTTTGAATTCTTTGAAACAGTTCTTATTAGATAATTATATATTGTTTTTATTTATTACAATGTTAAATATTCTTATTAATCTGACCAAAAGTAACATAAAATATGTCATTTTTTCAAAAGTTAAATAATGGCTAAGTGAAATATTTTTTTATACCACAAATCTGTAAATGAATTCTCGTTTAAATTTTTTAAAATTGTTATGTACATAAAGAAAGCAATTCTAAAAAACAAAAATAATTTAATATAGTTAATTATTAAATATTAATACATTTAAAGGATACTAATTTTATAGCTTTTTAAAATTAATGTTTAAACTTGTTGCATTATCATTGTGCATAAATTGTGTCAATGAAATTTCACAAATATTATAATTAAGTATTCATTAAAAAAGATTAAAATGGGTTAGTTTTACATTAGAATATTTTAATTATATATATGATACTGTAATATATACACTAAAATATACTATTTATATCTTTACTAAAAATATTTTTTATTGTTACCAAATTTCATAATTTTTTAGACCTTCAACTATAAATTCAATTGGTCAAACATCAAATAATTCGTTTATAAAAAAGCTTAAGTCTACTGATCGTAGTTTAGTTGTTTTTTATGGTAGCCAGACAGGAACAGCAGAAGAGTTTGCTGGTAGGATAGCTAAAGAAGGTGCCAGATATAAAATGAAAGGAATGGTAGCTGATCCAGAAGAATGTGATATGGTAATTTTAGTAAAGCATTAAACAAATATAAATAATTTAATATTGTATAGATGATATTATAGATACTAAATTTTTATTAAAAAGATTATAGGTTAATAAAATCTAATTAAAAATTCATCATATATAACAAATTTAAGATCATTTGTTAATATACAATTGATATTATTTTTTAGTATTTAAAATTTCCAAAGTTAGAATTCAACCATGAGTTTATTTTTAGATTTAATATTATTTAACTTAAATAATTATAAAGTTAATTATTGTAGTATATTATTATATACCGAAAAGATATGTAATGATATAAGTTATTTGATTAACTAATTAACTTTAGTTTAATTTATTTTTAGGCAGATTTAGTCCAAATGAAAGAAATACAAAAATCATTAGCAATTTTTTGTTTAGCCACTTATGGCGAAGGAGATCCTACTGATAATGCTATGGAATTTTATGAATGGCTTCAAAATGGCGATGCTGATTTGGAAGGACTGAATTATGCTGTAAGTACATAAACTTAAATTTTAATGTTTACTAATAACATAAATAATTTTTTATTAGAAATAAATTATGTAGTTAAAAGTTAGTGTACAATGATACCTTAACTATACCTCACAAAATATTTTTGAAAATATAAGATTTAAACATTTTTTTTTTTCAAAAATAATGATTCTTTTGTAGCTACTCTATAATAATATTAAATTTCTTCTATCATCTCTTTTACCATACCTAAAGCTATCGTTTATTAGCAGTGTAATGAATAGTTGTAAAAGCATAGGTATGTATTCGATTTACAGAGTTTACCTCTTATATAAATAAATGTTTATTTGTTCATCTAACTAAAACTCCATTGACTTGTAATTCACTGAGAATTGAATAAAATAAAACAAAATTTTTTTATTTAATTAAACTTGACTTTACAAAAAAAAAATAGGGTTCGCATTTGAAAAACAAAAAAGTAAATGATAGTTTATATGCCATAAAGGATGATAGTAGAAATTAAATTTTTTACATAAAGTAGCTCACTAAGGAGTCATTATTGTTAAATAAATAACAAAATTGATAATTAATTCAAATATTTTCAAAAATATGTTGTGGGATGTAGTTAAAGAATCACCCTGTATAATGCTTGCTTATGATGTTTACCATATTTAACTAAATGTATGAAATTATTGATGGAGTTAAAAAGAAAGTAAAATGTAACAAAAAAAGAGATTCACAGCAGCTTAAATTGTCTTAAAAATTTTCAAAATCTTATAATAATTTTAATTTAAAAATAACAAGAAAAATATTAATACTTATAAAATAATTATATTTATATGATAATGTAACTAATAATATATAGATATTACATTATTATATATATATTCTGTATAAGACATTTTCTCTTTTTGATAATCGTGTTTTAATAAAAATCGATATCAACTTGCATTGTTTGTTATATTTTTTATTGACATGTTAAATAGTGTCTACGTGATGGTTCATTGAATAACTGTAGAAATATATTCAGTGTCATACAGTTGTTGAATCTAATTGAATATAATACGTTTAATATGGAGGTCAACTTATAGTTAAAGCAGTTACTTAAGCCTTTTTATTGATGCAATTTATGAATAACTTATATATAAATTTTTAATTAAATTTAAACAATTATAAATGCTGTAGAGTTTTTAACTTGCTATAACTAGTTTTTTATGGGCAAGTATGAAATTGTAATCATAATTATCATTGTTAAATGTACCCAGTCATTTTTAATAAAACAATATTAAATATTAAACCAGCAATATATTTTGAATGATGTATATGCAGTACTTGTTCAACTATATAAATTAAAATGTAATAAAAATATATTTTATTTAGTGAAGTATTTTTAATGTGTTTTTTTTTTTAACATAACTTTTCATGCAATTTTTCGTGGAATATTTATTGTGTGATAAAAACTATTTAAATTAGAAAATATTATGTTTGGAAACAGAATACAAATTTGAAAAAATTATATTTTCAACATTTATTTCAGAAGTATATTACTGGCAATAACTATCCTTCACTTTAATTTATTAAAGATTTATGATAGTATTACATATTGTATATATTAATTTTTAAATAATCAGTATTTGATTATTATGTTTTATTTAAGTATTATATAACTATTATAGTGTTGTCTTAAATTTAACAAAATATTTAATTTAATAACTTTTTGCTATTAAGTTTTTATTTTTAAGTCATTATAAAAAGTTTTTTCTAGAATGTTATTTTTATGAAATATTTAATTAAACTGTCTGAAAAAATCTACTCTCAAGGATAAATTAATTATTCCATAACTTTATACTTCCTTTCCATTAATAAGTAACTGAAATGTTATTAATAATTTGTTTTGTCATTATTATTTATAATATATATATATATAATTAATATATTATATAATTAATATAATTTTTAATTATGCTATTTTCAATTAAAAAATTAATTTTTTTTATACTCCTTCATTTTTTTAAGTTACTTTATTATTTTTTTTATAATCAGGTTTTTGGATTGGGTAATAAAACTTATGAACATTACAATGAAGTTGCTATTTATGTAGATCAACGTTTAGAAGAACTTGGAGCTACTCGAGTTCATGAAATTGGCTTGGGTGATGATGATGCAAAGTAAATACAACCAATTTTCTCGAAAATTTAAAATACTAGATTTATTGATTATTTCAATAAATAATTTTTAATCTTATGTATTATGAATATTTAAGCATTTGGCTATTAAGTTGAAACTATAATATTTTATAGTATAAGAACAATAACTGAACATATTTTGATATATAATTTTTAAGAAAAAAAAGTTTTTTGTATAGTTTTGAATGTTAATAATTTTATAGTATTGAAGATGATTTTGTTTCGTGGAAAGAAAAATTATGGGAAAATGTTTGTGCACATTATGGAATTGAAGAAATGGGTGAAGAAGCAAATGTCAGGCAATACAAATCTGTAGATTGTTCTAATATCTCACTTGATCGAATTTACAATGGTGAAATATCACGTCTGAAGTCTTATGAAAATCAAAGATTGTAAGCTAAAAATATTTCTTCAATTGTTTTTATTTTAATATTTTTTTTTGTTGCTTAAGTCCATTTGATGTGAAAAATCCATACTTGGCTCCAATATTAATAAATCGAGAGTTACACAAATCTGGTGGTCGTTCCTGTATGCATATTGAATTTAATATTGATGGTTCAAAAATGAGGTATGATACTGGTGATCATGTTGCAGTCTATCCTAAAAATTCATCTGAACTTGTTGAAAAACTAGGACAATTATTAAATGTTAATTTAGATATTGTTTTTTCATTGTTAAATACTGATGGTTTGTTAATTTTATATTTTAACATAAAAATGTATACATTATATTATTAACTGATTTTCTCATTTATAGAAGAATCAAGTAAAAAACATCCTTTTCCTTGTCCCTGCACATATCGAACTGCTCTTACATATTACTTAGATATTACATCGAACCCAAGGACACATATTATGAAGGAATTAGCAGAATACGCTACTGATCCAAAGGTATTGTTTTTAATTAAATAATAATAATATTAAAATTTGTTAATGATAAAAATATTTTATTTTATCAATTTGTATAATAAATATTTTTAAATTAGAGTATAGTATTTATTTTTGGTACTATTACACATTTTTTTTTTTTTGGTAATAAATAGTAGTTATCCTATAGAATTCCAAATTAGGAATTCCTTTTTTTTAAGTTATTATAACAACAAAATCTTTCTTATCTTTAAATTTTTTTTTTAATTAATAACTAATTGTAAAAATGTAATTTTTCTCGACAAATTTATCTAATTTTTATTCTTTATTATGTAAGTAAGTTTTTTTTATTGCAGAAAATTATCTGATATTTCTAAAAAAATTATTAACTGGATATATACATACATTAAAAATAATAATATGATACCGTGTTTCCTTTAGTTGCACATCGCATTATTAACCTATATGGAAGTGTAACAGGATCTGAATCATAAGTTCACAGTAGCCTAGCGGTAAGGTTTACAACTTTTTGTTTATAATTCCATACTATGCCTCTTTTTTTCACATAATTTCCAGTATAATTTCAATGACTGGGTGTCAATTCCCTGGCTTCTGTGTTAGTGCTTACTTGTATCATGTGTTATATTTTGATGTACTACCTATGCAATTCAATACCCTTGCGTTTTTTTCCATGTATCGTTGTGTTTCCAACCTAGTATCTATCATGTTATTTGTTTTTGACACTTTTGTGAACAAATCATTTCAACGCTTCAACACACAAGTATCCCTTAAGTACAATATAATATGTGCAGATAGCTATATTTGGATTATTTATATTTGTATATACGACCTTATATGATTATCCATTATTGAATTGTGTTGACTATTTGTTTATTTTACTTTCGTTGGCCACCTTAATGTATATCATCATCGTAATTGGATTACTTAAAAAAAGGATTGTATTAAATAATTTAAAACATTTCAAAATAAAGAGATTTTTGAAATTAAAGTTGTAAATAACTAATAAAAATATTGTATAAAAATTATTTATTATTTTTAAATTATTCAAACTGTATGAATGTATTAAATCAACTTTTTAAGACAATAATAATTGATCATTTTAGGAACAAGAAAAATTAAAACTAATGGCAAGTTCAACACCAGAAGGAAAAAAAGAATTTCATGAATGGGTATTACATAATAATCGAAATATTGTCCACATTTTAGAAGATTTGCCTAGTGTGAAACCTGATATTGACCATTTATGTGAACTTCTTCCTCGATTACAATGTCGTTATTATTCAATATCATCATCACCTAAAGTTTATCCAAAATCAATTCATATAACAGCAGTAAAAGTGGAATATGAGACACCGACCAGTCGAATAAATAGAGGAGTTGCCACTAATTTATTATCACAACTGAAACCTAAAGAAAATGAACCATTACCTATCATTCCAGTATTTATCAGGCGATCTCAGTTTAGGTAATTAATTTAAAAACACTGCCAAATCTTTTTTTTTTACTCTGTTTATTGATTCAAATCCATTAATTTCTATATTACTTCTAAATTTTAAGTTAAAGATCACCTGAAGTATTTTTAATCACAAGTAAGAATAATGTGTCACAAAAACAAAAACTGTATCTCAAAAATTTTTTTTTTTTTTTTGAAAAATCTATTTCTACAACATTTTAAGTGTTTTTGAAATAATAAATCTTTTTTTCTTTAAATATTAAAATATTAAAATTAATAATTTTAGATTGCCCCCAAAAAGTCAAACTCCTATTATTATGATCGGTCCAGGTACAGGATTGGCTCCATTCAGAGGTTTTATTCAAGAAAGAGATTTTGCTAGAAAAGAAGGTTTGTTGTTAACTTAATAATATTATAATTAAAACAATATAAGTGTTTTTCAAAAGAAATTGCTATTTCAATAGTTTACATTATTAGTGTCTATAACTCTAATGAATGTTATTTAAGTGTTGTTTAATTTGATTGTAAATGTATTCAATACGTATTTATCTTTTAGGTAGAGAAGTTGGTAAAATGATACTTTATTTTGGATGTCGTAAAAAGGAAGAAGACTTTATTTATGAAGATGAATTAAAAGAATATGTTTCAAATGGAACATTGACCAAGGTAAATAAGTTTATAATTAAGCATTTCATTATAAATATGTATTGTAGAATTTTAATTTCAGATTTATTTTCTGTTTAATGATATTTCTTATTTGAAGTTTTTAGAGTAATATAATATTTTTTAATACTTAAAGTGTGAGTGTAGAATTAGAGAAACGTATCAACCTAAAAAAATTCTTTAAACTATTTTATCTAAATATTTTTTTTTTGAATTTAGTTTTTAAATCATGTACTTTTAATATTATTTTAACTAAAGCTTTTAATTTTAACTCTGAAAATTGTAAAACTCAATTCTATGAATAAAACTAGATAATACAGTTTAAAACAAATGTTACGTATCCAGTAGCACGTACTAGCACTATATACGTATATATATGAATCAAATACGCTTGTTGCAATCGGTCGTTTCGTTTTATATTAAAAAAAAAATATTAACACAGCTATGTAAAAGCACAGGTAAGAAATGTGATTTTTCCAAGTCGCACCCTAACACCAACTTAAATCATAGGAGAGGTATACTAACAAAAAAAAAAACTAACCAGTTACGGTGTACATCAAAAACGGAACAGAACTCAATATCCGTAATGCATATTCGGCGGCGGCCTTATCTCGGTGTCAAGGGCGGGGATTGTCATATTAATAGCTGGACAGCTGATATCGAGAGAGATACGGGTGAGAGCCAGCCTAGAGCGTAGGGCGGAGCCGTGTCACAGATTTTGGTTGATACATTTCTCTGATGCTGCAACGACAAATTATTGAATGACAATTATTAAAAATTAAGAATTACATCAATCATATATCAATGTAAATGTAATATTTTTCATTTAGATTTATCTTTTTTTTTTTAGATGATGTAATAAGTCAATTTATTGGATTCACATATTATTAGAACTTTATGTGTTTTCTTTTTAAAATGAAAATGTAAACAATAATAATGTGTATAGTAATTAATAAAATCAATAATTATTATAAAACAATAACTAATTAATTCCTCCATTAATCAATTGATGACTTTTAAAATAATTTTTCTGTATCCATTGTGTTATTCACAATAATTAAATAAGATCATTTAAAATTTGATATACAACTTACTAAACCCAACCTACTAAGTTTCAACTAAGCAATTATTTCTTAGTAAATAAAATATAAGATAATCAATAATTTATCTTAACAATTGAATTTTAACTCCATAAATTGTTGATTAAATTTTTTTTAAATGTTTAGCTTCATTTAGCATTTTCTCGTGATCAACCAGAGAAACAATATGTTACTCATTTACTAGAACAAAACGCTGATGAACTTTGGAATGTAATTGGTGAAAATAATGGACATTTATATGTTTGTGGGTATGTTAAACATTTCTTCCTAGTTATTATTATGTTAAATTTGTAATTTACTTTATTTAAATTTTTTATTTTAGTGATGCAAGAAGCATGGCCAAGGATGTTCATGCTATAATAGTAAAAGTTGTGATGGAAAAAGGTCAAATGACTAATACTCAAGCACTTAACTATGTTAAAAAAATGGAACAACAAAAAAGATACTCTGCTGATGTATGGAGTTGATTTTATAAGTAGTAAAATTAATATAGCAGTGCCGAAGTATAAGTTTTCATTGAAGTATAAATGCATTTTGATTACATTTTTAAATTAATAAATTACTTATACAAATTACAGTGATGTGTACTTATCAAATATTTTTTATAACACAACATAAGATACTGTTGGGCATGTAAAAAATGTATTGATTATAAAACTTGTTACTAATTAAGTTTACGTTGACAAATGTATAGTAAATTTCTGTATAATAATTAATATGTATGTTATGGGAATTTTTTTTAAATTATATTGTTTATATTAAACATAGTATTTATTTTTTCAATATTGTTTTAATACTATAATTGTTGTCTTTCTATCATTTACATGAAGTAGTTTTCNGTCATGGATCGTATAGAAAAATTCGGTGAAGGACTTTATCGGTATAATAATCGCGGATTAGTTGTACAAAATGCAAGAGAAGAAAAATTCCATTACAACTCTAAAGGATTACTAGTAATAATTATTATTTAAAATTATAGTAGATATTTTTAATATTTTAATTTTTAATACTTTAGGTAAGAGCTGTTAAAAGAGGTCGTTTCGATGTACGATACTACTATGACCATTTGAATAGATTAAGTACTCGCAAAGATAACTTTGGAAACGTAACGCAATTCTTTTATACCAACCATAAAAATCCAAATGAAGTAAGAAGATGGTTTAAAAATTTTTATTTAGGTCACATTAATATTTCTTTTATATATCAGGTCAATCAAATATATAGTCCTCGAGATGGAAAATTAATGTCATTGACTTATGATGATCGTGGCTTTTTAATTTATGCTCAAGTATTCAGACATAAATACTATATAGCTACTGACCACTGTGGTACGCCAGTAATGATATTCAATCAATATGGGGAAGGTATTAGAGAAATGATGAGATCTCCCTATGGTCATATAGTCTATGATTCCAATCCATACTTATACTTACCTATTGACTATTGTGGAGGACTATTAGATCAGGTACAAAACTAAAATTTTAATATTGTTAATTAAAGATATAAAAAGTAATATATATATATATATATATATATATATATGTGTGTGTGTGTGTGTGTGTGTGTGTGTTTGTATGTATGTATGTTGTAGATGATATCCATATTAAATTTTATTTTATTAATTATTATAAGCAAACATTTCTAATTTTTGATGTAGATTGCAAAAGCCTTAAATTAATTTTGAATTTATGGAAAGATAGTTACCTGTTATATAAAAAATTAAAAAAAAATTGTCATCTAGTAATATGCATATTCAGTATAATATAGGTATTATATTCTTATTTATTGTATATTTTATAGTCTAAGTACAAAATTTAATTGGTTTGCATTATTGGTTGTGATATAAATTACTTATTATACAAGGGTATTGATAAAATATATATATATATATATATATTTATATATTTCTTTTTTAAGTAAGTATTACCTAATGATTTTAAGAAATTGGTATACAGGGTAAAAAAGTTATCTGACTATATAATTTTAATATTACTAAGTGTTATAATTGTTATTTTTAGACTGTCATATTTATTTGATATTGTGATAAATTACTCTGAAATATGTTTAATACTATAATTAGATCTAAATTATTGCATAATGTTGTTATTAATTATTTTCACCTTTAATTTTTCTCATTTTATATAATATGTTGTGATTTTTTTATAATAAATTCAATAATACCTTAAAATGTTAAATGATTTTGGGTAAAGATTTTAAATTAAATTTTTTTGATACTGTTATTTCTGTAATTTTTATGTATTTATAATTAAAAATATACACCATGTGGAATATTCCTAAAAGTTTTTTTTATATTCTGGTTATATACATTAGTAGTTTTTTTTACATTTAATTTAAAATTTTAATAATATATTATATTGTAAAATGATTGGTAGTGTAATCTATAAATCTGTGGTAAATGCTGGGCATAATTTTAATAATTGTTGATTATAATAAACTATAAATAATTATTTATACAACAGTGTATGATGATTGATTTATTTTATTCATGGTTAAAAATTACTTGAAAATAATTTTGATTATAAACTTACATATTATGTAAGTTTATAACGGTGTACAATTATTTCTATGTTTTAATTTAATTAAGACTAATTTTTAATAGGTTCAAATAATCATCTTTAAAAACTTCACTTTTAATTGTGACTAAAATTAATTTTTATTAAATCAGCTTAACTTTTAGCCTTTAACTGAAATAAAGTATGTTTGACTCTATCTATAACTTATTTAAGATACATATTTGTGAAAAGAATTTTTGGTGATTGTGAAAAGATGCTGAAGTAAAATTTTGTTATTTTCAGGCTATTTATTAGTTGTATTAAATATATTATGTTGTGTTTAACGGTATCCCTGCCATCCCTATTAATAAATTAGCTATATTGAATAATTATTTCAATTTGATAGCTCAAAAAATGTAGTGGAATGTAAGAATGTATCTAATTTTAATCAAAATCAAAATTACATGTATGTTCTTAAATAAAGAATAATATTTTACAATTAAATCTCAATTATCTCTTATATTATCAAATATTTTATTTCCCCTTTAATGATGTAAAAATTGTAGTTATCAGAATTACAAATTTTGTCAATTGAGAAATTAGATTTTGAATAAAAATTTTGCTGAATTCAAGATTAGCTAATTATTTTAAACAACTTAATTCAGTTTTCAATTTTATCAATGTAGATTTAATTAAAGATCAATTTAAAAAAAGTCTCACTAAAAAAAATTATTAAGTTTTATAAAACTAATTTTTTGAGTATTACTTTTTACATTTATATGTAAATCCTGTTACAATAAAACTTATATATTACTACAATAATGAATAGTATTCAATATTTATATTAAATTTATCTATTTCAAAAATTTATACTAAAGAATAGTAATTTGGTGGAATTTTAATTATAAAGAAATTGCAATTTTATTTCATGAAAATGAATACACATTAGGAAAAAATTCAATATTATTTGTGTTTAATACTTAGAGTAACATAAATTATATTAAATTGACTAATAATTAGTAAATTAACTATAATTATTATAGTAAACGTGATGAGTTTTATATTCTAATTTCATTTTGCCCTAATTATGGGAAAAAATTTTCTTAGTTTAAAAAAACATTCATAATTTATTATTAAATTATTTCTTAAAAATATAATTTTGGATACTTAAACAAAATAATATTTATGATTAAATGGTGTTAATTATATATATATAACTCAATTATGTTATAAGTTATAGCTATTCAATCCTAAAGGTGACCGTTTTGTCCCACATTCCCCTACCATCGCCAAAAGAATATTTATGTTTTCTAAAAATTACCATTTTTGACTTGTCCTTTTTTATAATAAACATAAAATAAAAGACTTAATGCAGTAAAAATAAATATTTTTATAATAATTTTAATAAACTAATAAACTTGAACACATAGTAGCAAATAAAATATATTTAATTTTGAATAGATATCTTTTATGTTGTTCTATACATCGTAAAATTAAATTTTAATACAATAATTTAAAACCATATAGTTGAATATAAAAATAATTTTGGATAAACATAGAAATATTATTATTAGTTATTAGAACTTTAACTTAATCATTGTTACATTTAAAATATGCAACCATAACAAATGACATATTTTTAAAATTAATTCATGCATATCACCTAAAAATCTGAGAACAGAAAATTAGGTTCATTGTTGTAGTAAATTATTGTTCTACCTCCATAGTAAAAATAAGGATACTAGAACAATAATTGATGATAAAAAAAATTGATTTTTCTGCATAATGCTTTTGGTACCATTTGATATGTTGCATAAAGGAGTTTCACAGCATGCTTGACAAGCATATATCTTAATTCTTTCTCCAATTATAATACAACCGGGCTCACATTTAACTGAACAATTTCTTTCGAGTGACCACAATTGTTGAGTGGATGTGGAGCTCTCATTACTTGTTGTATATGAATATCGCTTCACCTTTAACATTACACATTATTTTTGAAAATTAAATTTGATATTGTACAAGATATTATTTATGTATAATTTTACTATAATCAGGTATGATATAAAATAAAATCTGAGGGGCTTAAGTCCTATGATTGCTGTCATAGCATTCTATAAATAAAAATATGTATAATTATTTTTAAGAGAGGAGTAAATAAAATGACCTCAATATTTTTTTTTTTTAGTTGAGTCAATAGTTTTGATCTATTTTTCTGTGGCCGTATATAATTTTATATCTAAAATAATTAATTTCAAAAATAACAACTTAAATTTTATGTAGTTATAACTTAAAAACACTTTAAAAGAAATAAGTAGAACTTAGTTTGTACTTTTATGTAAAAATAAAAAGTACTAATGTGGCAAATATCTTTATTTAAATTAAACTTTCAAAAAAATTTTCCAATTTGAATCAAGCAAATCAATCATAATTATGTTATATTTGAACTACATCTAAAAAAAATTTTTAGTTTTAATGAAATTTTTATCAGTAGTTTATAAAAAATTATAAGCATTGCAAATTACCATGCAAGTTTTTCTCTCTCCAGTACATTTAGTTGAGTATTTAGTATATTGTTCTTTGTCAGTAAAATTACTGCAACTCTTGCCATTCATCATTGTATTACATTCATAGCAATACATGTGATTTTCTTTTTCTAAAGCTGCATTTGTTTGATATATTTTTCCTGATAAATCTACTGAAAAATAAAAAATAATCTTTTAAAGATCTTTACTTTAATAATAATTATTTTTATTTACTTATGAAATACAAACATTTTTGTCTTATATCAAAAATGAAATAATTATGATCGTATATTTAATTTTTAATAATAATCACGTGTAATAAATTTAGACATGAGACGTAGTCGTGTATTGTTAATTATTAATAAAACACGACAGTTTCGTGTTACCATCTTAGTTTCCACATTACTTAAAGAGCTTAAGTCATTAAGAGACGACATACAAGAATAAAACAGCTATAACCATGTTTTACGCAGTCATAACTTAATTTGATATTTATTGATGACCGAGTCCACATATTTTTACTAAATTATTGATGACAAAATTATCTGTAATCTAATTTATTTTCGTTTACACCATTAAATGATGACATCATGAAAATAAAATACTAGAAAATTTCTAATAAATTTTAGTAAAATTCCCTATATTTTGTATTTTTTATGTTCAATAAATAACTTTAGTGTTGCGTTGTCGAAATTATAAAAACGCTAGATCATAGTGAACACTGTGGTGTTAATAAAATTTGATAAAAGTGTCTTAGCGGGAAATAGTTTTTAGCAAAAAATGTTATTTTTTTATCATTTTCACGTCCCCATCGAAGTGTTTCTCAACCCAACCCAACTCACTTTCTTATGGTCAAAAAAAGAGTTACTTGAAAATAAAAGTAAATAAATGGATTTTGTAAATTTTTCATTCCTCCGTATGACTTTTTATGAAGAATTACAAATCATCTCAAAATTATTCCATCATTAAATAAGTTTATGGAAACATGATTTTCATATAGTTTTTATAAAGATATTTTATTTTCGAATTTCAAATATGTTTGCAACAAAAATTTTATATACTATTGTTATATCTTAATGTTTTGAATTAATATCTCTACATTATGTAGTAAAAATTACTTACCACATTGAATAAATATAATAAAATTGTTAATGGCGAACACTATTTTCCATTCCATATTTTCTACTTAAATTTATTTTGTCATAAATTAATGACACTAAGTATATTACTCTGCTAAACCATTATTTTTAATTTAATGTTATCACTATTATACAGTACTGCCCGAACTGTGTATAACTTTTGGATTTCGTCAGCGACGTGGTAAATAAAATAAAAATCAATATATAAACGTTTAACGGGAGAGCTCTTGTGCGCATCTCTTCTACAATGCCAATTATTATCAAATTACAGTTACCCAAAGATTTTTAGTTGCACTACATTAACGGTCTCTATTTAAATATAAAAAATAGTATTCCTTTATGGTAGGGGTTACATAATATTTAAAAAATATTTTGTTGAGTTAAAAAATAATTTGTATATATATATTATACATTATATATGTATATATATTTATTAAAAAAATAACTAATCATAACATACATATACTAGTAATAAATTTACAAAAAATATAAAAAGATAAAAATTTACTACAAATAAAAAGTTGCTTTGAAGTTTTACAGTTTAATTTATTAAAATTAATATCCGGGAGGCAGTTTAAAAATCATTTTCCCATTTTTTCCTTCTTCTACACAAGGTACGCGAAGGATATTGAAGTAAATACTTCCCATAAGATCACCAGTAGGATTTTTAGATTTTTTAAGACAATTGTATAACATTTGGTCACACATACAATGTGATCTACAAAAAAAAAAAACATAATTTATGAATATAATAAAATCAGGTAAAAATTTTTTAGATAATTTGAAAAAATAGTGAAGGAAAATAATTGTTGTATCAGGAATTTTAACTTCAATTATAATTTTTTTAATTCGAAAAGATACTTAATACAATTTGATAAATTAATTTAAATTTAAGGCACACCTTTGTTATTGTAGTACAGCATAAATAAATATTATTTATTGACTATTTAAAGAAAAATTGTATTATTATTTTTCAATGAAATATCCATCAAAATCGATTTTTACGTCTACTCTTTTATAATCACAAAAGATGAATTTTCTGGTTGTTACTTTTAAAAAAAACACCGGCACACAAAAAAAAAAAAAAGTTGTCTGTACTTTTGACCAGGCCCACCTACGGACATGTATTTTGACCCGCTGAATCCGAATTTGAAGTCCGTTTAGCTCGGTCACCCTTCAGATTTGAGTAAAATGCAAAAAACAAAAAAATAGGCAAAAATTTCCGAAAAACTGCAATCACAGCGATGAAAAAAATTTTGTGGACTTTGATCAAGTATGATTTTTATGTATTTCAATTTACTGAAACTGAATCTGTACGTTAATTAACCCGTTGAGTCGTCAACATTTGAAAAATAGCAAAAAAAACTCAAAAAATTGCAATAAATTGTAGTTATAAATATGAAAAAAAATGATTAGAACACGATTAAATACTTTTCTTGTATTTTTTCATGCATAAAATAGGAGTTTAGAATATGAAAATATAAAAAATTGTAATATTTATAAAAAAAAATGACTAGAATGAAGAGAACGATTTTCTCGAATTTTAACCTCTTCATGCACGAGATTTTTTTTCCTTAAAAATAAAATATTTAAATTGCAAATCAGATTGCTAATTACCTTATGATATTAAAAAAAAAATAACAAACATCAACTTTTAGAAAAACTTCATAAATTATAAATCATAAAATTAAGTTCATAAAATATATATAATAAAACATATTTTAAAAGATCAATATTGAATAAGATTTTTTTTTAATATAAAATAAAGTATGTTTGATAAAATTAAATAGTATGAATATTTTTTTTTTCAAATATTGCACGATGGTATCATATACTAAAACCTTATTTTTAGTAAGTCAAAATCAAAAAAAAAATTTATTTTTTATTTTTACTAATATCATAAGGTAATTAGCAATTATATTTTCATATTCTTAACTCCTATTTTATGCGTGAAAAAATACAAGAAAAGTATTTAATCGTGTTCTATACATTTTTTTTCATATTTATAACTACAATTTTCCTGCTCTTTTTGGTTTTTTGAGATTTTTTTTAATTTTAAAACGTTAATAGGACAAGAAAACTTCAGATTCAAATTCAGTGGAATAAAATACATAAAAATCATACTCAATCAGAGTCCAAAAAATTGTTTTCATCTCGATAATTTCGATTTTTCATGATTTATTGCAATTTTTTGAGTTTTTTTGCTATTTTTCAAATGTTGACGACTCAACGGGTTAATTAACGTTCAGATTCAGTTTCAGTAAATTGAAATACATAAAAATCATACTTGATCAAGGTCTACAAAATTTTTTTCATCGCTGTGATTGCAGTTTTTTTGCAATTTTTTGGTTTTTTGCATTTTACTCAAATCTGAAGGGTGACCGGGCCAAACGGACTTCAAATTCAGATTCAGCGGGTCAAAATACATGTCCGTAGGTGGGCCTGGTCAAAAGTACAGACAACTTTTTTTTTTTTGTGTTCCGGTGTTATTGTACTTTCTATTTTGATTTCCATTTAAAAGAATAAATAAAAATTTTTTATAAACATCTTAAGTATTGTAAGCACACTACGAAGCAAACCATTACAATATCTAAATTCTATTATTAACGTTATTGATATTAAATCTTAAGTAATCAAATAAATAAAAGTTTAGGTATGAAAATAAGCAAAAAGGTTGAACTTGAACATTATTACCAAAGCTAATTCAGAGCTAAAAATATAAATTATTCGGTTATATTTCTTACTTTGTGTACATGGAATTATTTGTTACATCATATCTTCTAGCACGTGCTCTAACCTTTGATGGACATAAGTCATGTGTTCTACAGCACATGTCTAATTTTGTTTCTGGTCCAAGATCGAAAAACGTAGACGCCAAATCACCAGTACCACACCATTTGGTACCTTTCAAAAATAACAATTTTCATTGACATTATTCCACTTTACAAATATAATAATTACTTTGATAAATAATTAAACATATTTAACGGAGAAAATATTTTCTTATTAAATCTATTTAATTAAAAAATTATACCATGTTTAAATGGATTTGTTAAGAGCATTTAAAAAACATTTAGATTATTAATTAAGCACTTTTCAATGAAATTAAGTAAAATTAAATGGAGCTGTAACATGTCTACTTTATTTTACATGGCCTTCAAATCTATAATTGAATCTAAATGCCAAAAAAATAACTATAATAAATTATTATAAAACATAATATTAGAGTAAATACTTTAGAGTCGAATAGAATTTGACTTTCGAGACGTAAATACGTCTATCACCATTTATAAGTAATAGTTAAATATTTTTATGTGAAAAGATATTTTTAGTATTTAATAAGTACTATATTTATAATTTATGAGTGTTTATATTATTTATATCATTATTATTTAAATTCAAAAGGATTTTTTTTTTGTACTATACAATTATAAAAGAAAGGCGTTCCGAGGACTTCTCTTTTGTGAGTAATTTGCCTCTCAACTTGATAATCATGTAATTTCTGGTGGATATGTTAAATTTTTTATAATTTGTTTCAAGTACAATCGAAGGTTTTTATGACAGTAATTTTAATTGTATATTAGATATCAATCAATACTAATCTAAAAAATTTCTCAATTCCATTTTACTGGATCCCTAGTGTATTTTCTTTACATTATACCTATTAATTTATCCAAATGCATTTTGAATATGGTTTGAAATTATTTTTAATTTATTCATTTTTATTTGAGTCAATTATGTAAGCTTAATTTATTTTACATTTATATAATTACATCATATTAAATTTTATATGTTAACTTTTTAAATCTATTAATAGACATAAAATAAATAGATTACTACAATATAAAAATATATTTATATATTATATTCTAATGGTTCCGTAGATATTTTTAGTAGGTTATTTTGTTTTCCTAAACTAGTCTTGTGTTCAAGTTATAATCTCTTGCTTATATTATTTTAGTCATTTGGATAACCTTGAATATCGCTCTCAGGGGCTAAGCAAACATCATAGAAATTCATTATTACTATAATTAAAGAATATAATGTGAATTTAGTTGCCCCTTAAGAAGTGAGATTATCAGGCTCTAGACACTGTATTAGATAACATGATAATTATTTATTGTGGAAGTGATTATGGGTTTAGTTTTATTGTAAAATCCTTTAACCAAATTAGTAAAGAAGTTGGAAGCAGTAGTTTTATAATATATGGGAAAACTTCCAATATAGAAATAATCTGTCATTTGTCCCATATTTAATAAAGATGATGCTATAGATACAAACAATTATAGAGGAGTTTAAAATCCTGCCATAAAATCATTTTCCTTGTTATATTATGAAGATTGAAAGTATACTTAAGAGATATAATCGGAGACTATCAAAGCGGTTTCTTGAGAGTAAAGTCCAGCTTTAAACATATTTTTACAATTAGACAATTAATCGAAAAATAATATGAATACAGAAAAGATGTACATGTGTACTTTGTTATCTATAATCAGGATTCGATAATATAATGTTTGGCATAAACGACGAAAGGCCTTAGAGGTATTTTGAATCCCTAAAAAACTCACCTATATGGTTAAAGAGTGCAACACAGTGCTTTTTCAAAGGTTTACCATATGTTTTGAAGTTAAATTGGTCTTAAGCAGGGCGATACACTGTTTTTTGTTTATTTTTGACCTAGGACTTAAGAAAATATTAAGGTAATGTGAATACATCAAGATAAGGAAATGTGGTCTAATAGTACGCTTATCACTTACCTTAAGTAAAACCAGGATAAACCAAAATATTAAGTTACGGCTAGGGGAACATGAAACAACTCAAACCTGGTAGTAGGAATTATACCTTTTAACAAATGGAAGATTTTGTAGACTATCAGAGGAACGTTTGTACTTAAGTTTTCTACTGCAAGTTTTAACATACGTTTGTGAACATGGTTGACTACTAAAGGAGATGAAAAAAAAAAACTGTTTTGTTTTGAAAGAAGAGTTCTTGAAAGGATTTATGGGACTATTTTAGAAAACCGTGAATACAGAAAAACTAATGGATAAATGCAACAAATTTACTAAAAACTTGAAATCAATGCATACCTTACCAGCAAACGATTTGAGAGGGATAAGAAAACAGCGTTGTGTAGGAGGATCAACGATGATCAAAACAAGTGCTAGCAGGGAGTAATAATAGTGGACAGCTCATTCAAAAACAAATGGATGAATGTAGAAGAGGTAACGAAAGTCTTTCAAAGATGTAAAAGTTGAAAATAAAGGAGAAGTGTTCATTTTAATTCCTTGGGTCTGAATCTTATCTTTTTGTAAGCTATTCCGGCTATTACAATTTTAACAAAGGGTTATAATATTCAAATAAATGTTATAAACTATAACGTATATTAATGAAAGTTTATCTTTAGATAGACTCAGAGTCGGCATTAATGGGGGGGAGGGAATAACCACATAAAAAATGTGGTTAAAAAAAGTTTCATTCGGCAGTTTGTTGATTGAGATAAGGTTCTGTGGCTATAATTTACTCAGAGCTTTCCAAATGATAACGATAATATAGACTAAATAAAACGTTTTTAAGGAGATGTAAAAAAACATTTTTCATAAGATTACTCTTGATTACCTCTTAAAATGTAATATAATTAACTTACAGTTTAGTTAATAATTTAAATATAGACAGTAGTCGTCGCTTATTGGACTCAAATAAACCGGTTCCTATTTACAGGTATGCTAACATACAGAAATATATTAGTTTATTAGACTTATTAGGATTATTATAAATGACCCCTTTGACCGATGTGGTCATTTAACAATAAGAAAAATAACAAAAATATAACAAATGTACTATGGTATCAGTATTTTGTTGTTATGATGGAGATAAACTGAATTATTTTTTCACAATAAATCAAGAAGTCGTTAGCTGGTTGAAATGATTAGAAATATTACTGAAGACGGAAAACCCAATTGACTACTCTGTATAGTTTTCTATCATAAATTAATAAAACACGATAAATAAATACATACACATTTAAATTATCTTATTTTCTATATACTTTATTTTTTAAATACATTTTATTATTTCTATGATTATATGTATTTATATTTATTTTATAATCTTATTATGAGTACACAAAAGTAGGCTGGAATCTCAATAAATATTTTTAATTTGCTTAAGAGATTTATTTGTTTAAGGACTTATTGACTCATTCAGTTAACGAACTCAAATGGTCTAGCCCCAAAGTGAGTCTACTAAGTAGTTACTATTGTACTACATTTTAATACAAATAGCGACCACAGATTACTTACCTGGTAATATTCCAGAGTACAAAGAACTTTGAGTAGATGTTTCAACTTTTGTTGTATCAACATTTTCACCAGGCGATCTTGTCTTTAAAATACTTTTGTTGATATCTGTGTTTGGTTCAAGTAAATCACACTGTTCCATTAAATTTAACATTTGTTGTAAAGTAATTCGAAGTGGTTTATTTATTTTAGTCAAGTTCTTTAATATACTTTTACCTTCTTCATCATTGCTGAAAGCAATAGACAGATTAAAATGTGAATAGTTTTCAAACATTTTAATTTATCATAATTCTATTATTAAAATAATTTTTTGTTGGATCAATAATCAAACTGGTGTATGATAGGATTCTTTTTTTTAACTCATGTCTTTTTTAACAATATAATTGAGATATTTCAAAAATATTTTGTTGGCTTTAATAAAAATATATTTTAGATAATAAATATATAAGAATGTATTATGATATTTATGAAACCAACATAAAAATAGTTTAATAATTATTTAGATTTAAGAACCGTTTATGAAAATATTAAAATGGTAATTTCCGGAGATAACATGTTTCCTGAGGTTTAATATTAAAAGGCCATTTTAATGGCGTGTTAAAGTTACTTTAAAATACATTTAAAGGACTCTATTTTTTGCGAAGTCATATATTTTTTTTACGATTAGGTAAAATAATTGGCATACATACAAAAATAAATAAATAAAAATGAATTAAACCCGTGAAATGCCAACATACTGTAAAATGATCATTAATCCGAATCATTTAAAATCTAAAAAAGCCTTAATTTTGAATTTCAAAGTATATATTTCATAAGTATTTATCAATAGGAGAGCTCTACTTCACTTAAACCCCTAGAAACGTCTCTACTCATTTAGAACTTAACTTCTCTCTTTCACTTTCCTCTACTCCATTTACTCTGTATGCCAACTCTACTTGCCTTTATCTGTAGCATACTTACATGTTTAAAAATAAAACAGGAAAGAAAAATTTGAGAAAGCGACATAAAATAGAACGGAGGAATGTAAACTCTCTTGATAAATAGTTATAATATCATTTTCAACTACTTTAAAGTACAGTTAAATTAATTAGTTTAAAGTTTCAAATAAAATATGTATTTTATAATAAATTGTTTTGAAGAAGAATAAAAGGGGAAGGTACGCCATCATAGTAAAATAACACTCAATGCTATTTTTATCAAGCTTTTAAAAATATGAAAAACCTTCATACCCATAAATAAATATGCTATTTTATGAACAATATACAATTTCAAAATTCCGAAATCTGGTATTAAAAAAAATCGGATATTTAAAGTAAGATATTCAAATGTAATGTAAATTTCAAAATCTGGATTAAGTAACCTCAACAAATACGGATTATTACTTTCGTTAATATTTATTTTTTTCTTTAGCGTATAATAAATTATTCACGATATATTTAAGTCAAACTGTAAACATTTACAGTAAAAATGTCGTAACTAGTAAATAAAGGAAGTACTTTCCGTGTCAATTTAAGTACATTAACATTTGTTTTAAAAATTAGAATTTTAAACAGGTTCGATGGCTTACCTTGATTTTTAATTTATGTATAATTATTGTATTTAAGATTGCATTAAACTATAAATGAATAAAAATAGCTCAAATAATGTTTTATGACAGTTTTCAGTAAAACACTTTACGTAAGTTTTTATGAGTCGTTCAATTGTAAAAAGACTAATAAAAAAAATTGTTTTTTTATTCGACTATTTCTTGACAAATTGGTATATAAATAATTTAAAGGAAGCAAAATTAAGAAAATAATTCTTTTTGACATGTATGTCCCTTTAAAATTAAACGGCTTGAATAATATTAATTGCTATTATTCTATTAATTTTAGAATTTTTCATTTCAATTAATATTTGTCAATAATTTCAATCTTAAAAAATGAAATAGCCGATAAGTATTCTTTAGGTAATTAAAATTAGTACAATAAATTGGTTATAAACGACTAATGTTTTAAATGTGTTACACGTATCAATAGTTTCTCAGTCATGACGTCAACCCAACGAATTACGATATGCTTTACAATTAATAATAATACATATATTCATGAAGGAAGAGATTAGGTTTTGTTCATAAGATTTAGTAACATCATTATTATGCATCAATACAATTATAGACTGGCCCTTTATAGAATTCTCATCAACTATTCCAGCTGATATAATTAGCAAGTAATTTAAAGAAAGAAATTGTCGTATGTTGTCAGCTGATAAAATGGCTGACACATCGCGGGAGAAAGTTAAAAGACTACGAAAGTATTTACATTTATCTCTAGTTTATTAAACGGAGTAGCACATATGATGCACCTTTCGTTTAGCTAATTAAATTAGCTTATTACATAATCCCATCATACACTAGCCAGTCAGACCCTAAGAGTAATTTTTACTCTTACGTCTTAATGAAAAACTTTCTAGGGTACTTTATGTTATTGGGATTGTTTGTACTAAAATGTATTCACTGTGTCGTAGTAAAAAAAAAAAATGGTATATACAGAAATTAATATTTGTATTTATATATTAGAAATGTGTTCTGTAGACTTACTAAATCTCGATGAGTTCACAATTAAGTAGTTCTTTGCCTTTACCGACCTCTACTACTGCTATGGTTTGATCGTGATAATAAATCATGCGTAAAGAATTTGGACTTATTTTGAACCCACTATAATTCTTTACTGGGTTCATCGCTTGAGTAAAACATACCACGAAACAAACAAAAGTCAATGATAATTTAAAGTTAATCATTTTTATATTCTTCTAGATTCCACAACCATATCAATAGCAAAAGTATCGAGTTTGCCTCCCACTGAAAACAAATTTCAAGTAGTCAAATAATTTAATTAATTACAAATAAAATAAAATAATGTATATTCCAATGATATTACTATTTAACATGACATGCTGTTTTAAATAATATATCATAGTAAACTGTTAAAGGAATCTTAATTAATTTTAGAAAATTTTAATCAATTCAGTTCAATTAAATTAATAAAATATATTGTTTGAGTTAGGTTTAATATTTATAATTTGTATTCAATATGTAATTAATAAAAATATATAATTTAAATATTGTTATAGGTGACCATTTTTGTGTAAAATATATTTTTGGAGGTTCATTTCCTATGACATATATACAGCCTAAAGTTTCTTATGTATTGTATTAAATAACTCATTAATAGACTAAACCAATAAGATAATAAAATTATTTAAGATATGTATTTTAAATAAATCCTATAAAAAATATACACGTTTTGTGTTTATTTTTGAGTTCTGATGTCTCTAAAAGTACAAATAAGAAGACCTATCTTCAATTCTCTATATTCATTAAATATATCAATTGAACATTCATAACGGTTAAATAAAGAAATGGAGAACTTCAATGTCAATAATTGTTATTGTTAACTAACCTTGATGATGATTTTTTAAATTAATTCTACAGAAAAAATAGACCTTCGGATTTTAAATGCTTTTGGAATATCGTAATTGGTAAATTATAGTTCATAAATCATTTTTAAATGAATTATTAAAAGATATATAATTTAATACTTATCAAATAATATTCAACGGTTTTATAAAATTAAGGTAAATTGATTCATACAGAAAAAAATGTTTCTTTAAAAATGATTTCCTTAAAGAATTCTTTAAAAAATTAATTGATATTTTATTAATTTAAACAGGCAATAGCCTAGTTGCATAATAGGTATAATATTTAAAATAAAACATTTATAAATATACTAAAAACCCCAAGATTAAACTATAAAGAAATTAATATTAAATGTATTTATAAATAAAGGCATATTTTTCATACTTAATAGATTGGAACAGAACATGTAAATGATTTAATTTTCTTGTGCTGTGATTAGCAGGATATAATTTTAAGCCCAGTTTAATATTTTTTATGCAGATTTGGAATTCTTTTGAGTAATCGAAAGAAAAATATCCATGACTATTGATATAAATAATTATTAAAATTTTTTTTTCTAAATTGTTAATTTTGTCGAACATCCCGCAGTATAAATCTCATTTTTATATTTAATATTTTGCTCAAATGCTATCATAGTCTCATTTTATAAACGCATAAAACATTTAGCGTTCATTTAATGTATTTTATTGATGTTATCATTAATAACATTGTTTCTGAGATACGTACCCCCGATTTTTTAGTAATTTTTGTGGCTTTTTAAGTACAATATTTTTAATAATTTTAATATTAAGTAATATTAACTACATGCGATCACTTTTTATTGTAAAAATTTAATTTGTAGAAAAAATAACTGTTCATAATTAAATTAAAATTATAAAAAAAATGATCTTAGAAGTTGTTGCTGTGAATTACCATTAATTCTATTGTAACTCTCAATTAAAAAGAGACAACTAAAAATAAAAACTTGAAACATTAAAGTAATTATTACAATGAATCTATTAAAATAATTAACATTTAAACATATTCTTTTGAAAAATGTGCATAATGAACTTTATAATATACAATTGTTATAGCAAGTACATAGTTAAAAATGTATAATTCATAATATTATCATATTATCATTTATTGCTATCAAATACAGAGGAAATTTGTAAACACATATTTTCATTTATTCATACATTATTGCCAAACAAATCAATCCTTAGTTAAATGGAAATGAACTCATTAAAATTTTTTTTTTTTTGTATTTGATAATTTTCGTGTTTTATTTTGTAAAACAATTACAATATTTTGCAAGTGCCAACTAATGGAAGCTTCAAATAGTTTGAGTATTCATAGTGCGTTCATATTTACTAAAATAATGTAATTTTTCTCTTTCGAAGACATATTGTATGTGTTAAAAAACAAGGTTCAGTGCTCACAGACCCATGAATAATATAAACAACTATATAGTTGATGGATATTGTTATAAGTAGAAGGTCAGTATAAATATAATGGAATAGAATGCGGTCCTTTTTTCTTCAATTTTTTTATTTTAAGCACTTGTAGATAAATCAATTAAATACAACACAAATTCAGTTTGTAGCTACTGAATAATAAAATATAACAACGTTGTGACACTTTAATGCACAAACGCTGCTTAGTTGTTCGCACGTGCAATAAAAAATCTTTATGAAATTACTTTCTCCTGTAGCGAAAAGTTAACGTTTTGGAAAATTGTCAATCTAATTTCTGTGATATAAACGCCAAAAAGAAAAATCCAAGTAACTGCATGACGTAAAATTTGGTAATATTTCACAAAGGCTGAAGATAATTTAAGTATAAGTTTTTTCTTAATTTTACTCGTAAGAATACACATTTCGGTCAACAAAGTCGTTATTAATTAGACGTTAATCAAATTAACCACGTTTTGCTCTTTCGAAACTTCGTTAAATGATGAAGATTGTAGTAGCTGTAGTATTGAGCAATCACGAGCCTCGGGACATACCGAATAGGTTACTAGGTATTTTCTCAGTGTCTCCGGGGCCCATATGATTATAATTATTATTATCTGTACCGAGTTAGCTACGTGAAAAACCGTTTTCATTGTTTACAAAATATTTGAATTTTGGATTATCCAATGTAAAAATAAACGTATTCTATGTTTTCATAACCAAAACACATTTAAAATTAATTTATTAATATTTATTTTTTTATTAGTGACCTTTTACATTTATAATTGCCTATTTTGTACGTTATATAATCCTATTTTACATAAATCAGTTTTCACATTAAAAAAAAAAATTACACAAGAGAATAATTATATTAGGTAATAACAAAAAAAAGTATCTATAAATCTTGTTTATAATAGTTAACTAAGTACACCTCTTAAAAGGTGATTCTTTAAACACTAGTCACTCGATAATAATTGTGTAAAGAAAATTATTTTTAATTTTATTAATTTTTCGATTTATTAATTATTAATTATTATAATATGAATTGATCACTTGTAGCTAATATTATTAGTTACTTTTTAATTTATTTCTTAAACCTGAAAAGTGTCTACTTTTTTAAACGACAACATATATTTAACTAGCCTATTAAATAAAAAATAATTTAATTGAGAAAATGATTGATTGATACAACCTTTGACCCATTATTTATATCACATAAAATGTAGACTGGAGACGAAGAATGGATTACAACAATATCATATATTGTTACATTATAACAATATTTATCATTAAACATTTTTCATCATACCTCCGACTTAGATAACAACATGACAATAATTTTCAAAGTTTGGTACGAAAGTTATTGATGTATTACAGAAGTTAATGATTACAAAACTAAAAAGTTCATTTTATACATACTTTTAGGCAAATTAACAGATATTAAAGTCACCAGCCTATTTATTTCATTATTTTAATTAAATATTTGAATTATATATTAATCTTAAAAAGGAAACAATGTGTTTTAAAATTTCTGGTAAGTTGAGGATTCTTAAAATAATAGTTAGTCTTTTATTATTTCTAGAAAGTTAATAGTAAAAGTTTAATCTTCATAAAGTCTAAAGCTAATAAAAATTATGATATTTATTATTAAGTAAAAGTTCTATATGAAGCATTCGTGACGTATTCGTTATTAACCTACATTTTAAGTAAAAATCAAAACTCTCAAAAGAACGCTAAAATTTTATTTTTGGTAATGATGCCCCTTCCCCTGCATAGAAATTTTAGGTACAACAACTGCACGAAAACAATGAATGGTTCATATAGTGACCACTCTAATAACAGGTGAAATAACTAAACTTAGTTTACCGAATATTCAATTATTCCAACTGTCTTACTTGCAGTTGTAACTATAGATTAACCTTTTATATGTTTATTCTAACCGTATTTTTTTTTGGCGTGAGTTTTAAAATTATTAATTTACCCATAAATATTAGTTGTTAAGATATCAACCTCTTGCTAAGATTTTTAAAATCTATTAAAGCTACCCGACAACGACATATAAATAAAAATCATTTAGTTTTAATCTTTTTATGGCTTTATTGCCCGAAATTTATTTAAATATACTCAATGCCGCAGAAGTTGTTACTACAGTAGATCGATTTATATATGTATTGTATTCTAATAATGGTAGTCACGAATTTATAATGAAGGAAAATATATAAATTGAAGTGGAACTGTACGCTCTACACTTAGTATAGATAGTTTAAGAATAGATGAGGCAAACTGCTCATAAATTATTTTAATAATAACTTAAACAATAATAATAAATACGGATCATAACAAATGAAATATGTCTTAGGATTTAAATTTAGTTGCAAAACATCAATTCCTAGTAGGGGTAAATAAATTGATTTTGAACTTCAACAAAATGACACATAAAACAAAAATAAATTCCTAAACTACTTCTTGAAAGTATATAATTATTGATAGTAAATATTTCCAAGATAATTGATATTGGTTCATTTATTTTCAATAAATTTAACTTATTACTTGATTTACAATTTTTTGTTGTTTCTTTATTTTTAGAACTAAACAGTTAACGTTTAGTGGAATCAAATCAAATATAATTTAAAATTATATGCACGAAAATTGGCGAAAAAATGAAAGTATAGTATAGTATTGCGTACATTTTATTGGAACACAAATGATTTGTTTCGGCTACTATTTTAGTTTAAGATTTTTGACAACTCGCTGAACTAATTTAGTACTAATAATTAATGGGACATATTTACCAAATGACGTTTTTGTAATTTTAAAACCTATTGTTTTTTGACTATTGATGATTTATAACTTATTGGAAACTAAAGCATGATTTTGGAGGAATTACAAGAGTACAAGTACTGCCCTAGTTCTGTATTGCTTACTAAATGGAGTAATTTTTAAACTTTTTCTCAGGAAATATAATTAAAACTATGAAATGTTATGATATTTATAAAATTATTATATGTATAACGTAATTTTCATATTCTTTGAAATATTTGTTAATGTCATATATTACTAATGTATAACTCGTTTATACGAATCCTTGTCGTTAATGAAATAATGTACACATCATTTTAAAATTTATATTTTAGAACTTTTATATTCGGTTATCTATAAAAATATATTATATCTGTAGTCGTTCTAAAATTTACATTGTATTGAAATTAAAATAAAAAAAGAGATATTCTCGTATTTAATCTTACAAATATTCACTTCGAGTTTGTTTTAAGCGCACTCGATTGCATACTTAAAATCAAACATAAAAGCGTTTTATGTTTTGTTTAAAAATAAGAGTTTTTTGAATAAAATACAATTACATTCTAAGAATACTGACTTAAGTCTACTTTTAAGATTGTTTCAAATGTTTAAAAACTTAATGTGGGGATCGTGATTGACGGTGAAATTTTAAATACGAGTATTAAACCGTTTATTTTTTCATATTATTATGTGCGCGTATCTCTTAAGTAATATATTTTTGTTAAGCTAGTCACACTTTTTAAAAAATTTCCGTGTTTTGCCAAATATGTTATAGGACGAAATGTATACGCCAAAAGAGGGACCAAATTAAGGATATCTTAAACGATAATTTGATATATGATCGAAAATTATACTTACCGAATTCAATTTCGGAATATTTTGCTTTTGATTAGCTTCAATGGTGATGATATTATCACAGCAGTGGCGCACAAAAACGGACACGGATTTTAGTGGTGATAACAACAAAAGAGAAAGAAGAGAGCACGAGAAGGTTTCTGGTTGAAAAGTGGTTAGTATTGGAATAAATTACTCGATACGGTAGGAGATTATGTCGGCAACGGCGTCATGAGCACCAACAACACTCTGAGCCGGTCACCGCGTGATAGTACACTAAGAGACGAACCGGTTGGAACCTTACGCGCAATCGCGGTTTTTTTGAGGTCATCGGATGAAAGTCCGTACCGCATACTGAGTCTAGTGCGGTAGGTAGGGTTCGTCAGAAGACACTGGACTCACTCGAGCAAGCACATGTGTCAGACCCTAATACTTGTAAACAAAAATAATATCACAACATGATCACCATTTACAAACGCAAAACGTTAAATTTAGTTATGCACAAGGTCTATAGAAAAATGCGTCCGTCATTATTAGAAGCTAATGACTTTAAAATGGTTTACAAGCAGATTGATTTATCACGGATTTTCTATCAGTTTCCTAATTGTTCATTATACATTTTAATAATCAATATGACGATTAAAAATTCGTATATATATATGTTTTATTGAAATCGGTTATGGCTAATTAATTTTATGTAATAAAACTTTATTATTTGGACAGTAAACTATAATAAAAGAAGTTAAAACGCGTATGGATTCAATTTTCTAACAATATAAACAAAAAATGTAGAAACCATTATTGCGGTTTAAGACTAGGCATTAATTTAAAGTCTTAATTGGACAAGGTCATAACTTATTTTACATTTGTATTGAAAACATATTGAGTGGCTAAGTGTAAGAAGGACATTTTCACAAAAATTACCTTTTTGCTTGAAAAGACTTTTTGGGTTTAGATATCTCTATATTATTTTATATTATATTACATGTGTAAAACTTTAGATTAACATTTTTTAGAATTGAATAGAACGTGCAGAAAATGTGTTACTGTGTATAGCGTATAAAAATGCCTTACTTTCATGAAATACGTATTTTTTCTGTTTTCAATCTAATATTTAAATAACATGTGACTACAAAGTATGATTTATTTACTACCCTCCCTCCCTATATTTTCGTCATATTATGATTTTTTCATTAAAATTAATTTTTATAAGCCATTGTAAATATCCATTTTATTGCAAGAAAAAATTATTCCTAAGGATAGATTTTAGGGGAAATTGCATATAATACATCGGTGCCGTTAGGTTCAACTTGTTTGAAATCGGATGTATTAAAATCAACCCAATGAGAGCTGAGAATTTTCATGCACAGACATAAAAGAAACGTGGTAAAACCAAACCTGTGCTGTGCATTGTAGCTAAAAACAGTAGATAAATCAAATAATATATGTAATTTTCAACAAAACATAAGATTGATAATAAAAGCTTTTATCAATCTTAGTATCACGTTTTAGTTTTTTAGTTATAAATGTATTTAATATAGGCTCTTCATACGATACTAGTCCGTTACAGTTTCTAGACATAGCCTGATGTCTTGAAATTGAAAAGTTATTTTATTAACATTGTTTCACATATGAAACTCTTGTTTTTCAATCCTTTTAGTTGAAATATAATGATAGGTTAGATTCATGAAAGAGTTTTTCTTGGTCAAATATCTCATTTAATTATACTTAATCGACATAATGAATCTAAGACTTAACTGATCATCTAGAAATGTCTTTTTACACCCAGCCCCTTATTTGGTGTTCTCAAAAATGTACTTGCAATTAAAATACTATCAACTCTAAAATAGTATGTTCCATAATTAAGTTGATTACTTTTTTCCGTGCTTAAAATGCCAAATCTGATTTTACAAACGCAAATATTTACTTATTACAATTATATCATATTTTTATAATACAACAGATAGGGTTTTGGAATAACATTAGAAATTATATCGCACTTAAAATGTATAAATGATTTTTCTTATAAATCGCACAATTAAAATATTCAAGTGTCATTTTAATATTATTGTTTAATATTTTCTATCATTATTATCTAATTATAAATTTTAGAAAAATATAATTTTAACTTTGAAAAAACGTGATTAATATATAGTGAAAAAATATTTATTTATGGAAAAACGACAAGGATAGAAGTCGGTCATAAATATCTTACTGAAGGATTTATCTCTCTGTTGTAGTATCGCATTTTGTAAATTTTAAAGATAAATTATCGTTTGATCATATTATAGTAATATAAATAAAAATAATAATTAATTATAAACGTTAAAATTAAATTGGCTTTGGCAACATGTTACGTAAAAACAAAATGAATAATTAAATGAAAGTTTGTTTATTATCATTTTGAAAATTCAATATAATTTACAACAATTATTTAAATTGAAATATTTTTATAAACGAGAATTATTTACAACAACAATTTAAATGATATTTATAAATTGTACACATATAGTAATTTTTTTTATAGAATTCTTAGTAATACACAACTCTACATAATATAATACATTTAATTTAATAAATTTTTCTTAATTTTCTAATTGACAGTGTTCATTTTTATGATACCTATTTTTTTTATTACCCTAACATCAAAACTCTAATGTTTTAGAAGCCGTTAAGTGTGAATTGTTATAATGGCTCTTATTCACCCTGACCTCAAAAAAATGACAAATTCTTAAATACTACAAGAAATATATAATTTTATAATGCATATAACATATTTGTTTTATAAAAAGCTCTCAATTTTTATATTTCTTATTAATTCATCTTTTAAGAAAATCTTTTTATTTTTGAAAATTCAAGTTTTTGAATGTTAAGTGAACAATTCATTATCTAAAAGTGTTTTTAAAAATGTTTCTGGATTGGAAATTCAGTAAAATAAAAAGTATACCAACTAATAAAAAAGTAAGTATATGATGGGGTAACACAAGTCTATAAATTATAAGTTCACTCTATATAATTTTCAAAATTATTTTAATAAAAATAAAAACAATTTTCAATTATTTTATTAAAACCAAAGAGTTGTTTTAATTTTATGCATATCTGTAAAATATAACATAATAGGTATGCATAAATAAATTATATCTATAATTTAATTATAATTTAATATTTCATCAATGTTTTTAATACATTCTCTTTGATTTATTAATTTATAAACAACTTAATAATTTTAATGTTTTCAAAAATTAAATATTCTCATAGTAATAAATAAATTATTATGATAAACCAAGAGATCTAAATGAGCTGATAGGAGATCATATTTGCTTAAATTTAAAATTACTTATAATCTATCATTAAATATTGATTTTATAATTTATTCAGAGTGTAATTGTCTCTATTATTTTATTATTCTATTATCGTTAAAGTGTAATCCGATAAATTACTAAGTTTATTGTTTTGTATGAGTTCCTTAGGTTGGAAGATGCATAAGATAAAAACTTTAATGAATTATGTTTTAGTAAAAGTCTCAATTTAAATATCGCGTTTTTTAAAGAAAACTATTAGTTAATCTATTTATTTCAGAAATATGGATCATTAAGATACTTTTAGTATCTTACTAATAAATTTAATGGTAATTATAAAGTGTACTTCATTAATTTATCAAGCTTGATTGTCAATAACTATATACTCGTTCGTAGCTACAAAATAAACTTTTAAAAATTGTTTCATGAATTATTTGACTGTTATTTAAAATTAACTCTTATAAATACATTTTTTTTACTTAAATATGTGTAATTTGTCCAGCGATAATTATATATTAAAATAATGTTTCAATAAAATATTTTAGACATTATTATACCAGAAAAAAGTAATCTAATATTTAGATATTAATAATCGGTGCTGTTTAATAAAATATTCGTAATTAATATATCTAAATAAATGAGGTGATTTATACAAATAATTTCAATATAACATAGTGTATTTACCTAATCAAAAACATATACAATTTATTAGACGAACAAAACATAATTAACAACAATTAACATAATACTAACACACCAATATTAATATCACAAATCAATGAATATTTTTACCCTGTGAAACACCCTCGATAATAAAGGTAAGGATCTGGATTGGTAACTTTTAAGCATTCTATTTGGGTTTTCAAACTACTCACGAAAGTTTAAATATTGTCACATAATAAGAAAATATGATTTAGATTTAATTTTGTAATTTGTGTATGTTTACGATGATACATAATAGAAATTATTTAATGAATAATAGCCAAATATCCACTTAATATAAAATCAAAATTTTCACGTGAGTAGTAATTACAATTAATAGTTATTTTTTAGCTTATTTTAAATAATTGTATATTGCTTTAACTAAAATGATTATATTGTTTTAAGAACAATGAAAAACTGTAAGGGATGGCATTAAAAAATTGATAATGAAAAATTCTGTACAATACATAAATATAAAATTAAAATAGATTTAAATAAATATACTTATATTTAAGTGTACTTATCAGTCTATATGATATTTTGATATTACTATATTATTATTTGTTAAAATTAAGGTAATTTTTTTGGATTTATGCGAATTTTTATTTGAATTATGTGTAATTAAATAAATTAAATAGTCTCCCTTAAATAAAAATATGAGTGAACATAAATATAACGTGTCACAGAATTTTACTTAATGTGATATCTCTATAATTACATGTAAAGTTACATACTAAATAAAACTAACAAAATATTTATGGTTTATAAATGTTTACAGTTTAAATAAAAAAATAAAGCCACTTTGGTAAAAATAAACTAACATATTGGTAAATTATGATAGGATAGTAAAACTTCTTTTAAAAAAGATAAATTACTATTGTAAAACAAACAAAAAATTAAATATTAAGATATGTATCGATAAGCCAAGTATTATTGAGTATATAAATAGTATTAGTGTTCATTCAGTTTTTAAAGAAATTTATTTTATATTGAATTTAAATTTCTTTCTGAATTTTTATATTTATAAACACAATTGGACTTATAAAATTAGCATAAATTTGACTAAATTTAGGAATCGCTTAAATATTATTACTATCAAAAATGATTAAAGGGCTCTGTTCAACAACAAAATAACTCCATTTTTTTCAAAATCACATTTCGATGGTTTTCTAAGTTAAGAATAAAACGAGATATATATATATATATATATGCAAGAAAAAAAATAATTAGAAAACCATAACGTTTTTCTTGTCTGGTAGGTACAAATACATGTTAAAAATGTCTAGAATTTTTAGATTTTTAGATACCAGAAAATTTTTTTAAATAGAGTTGTCTTGTTTTTGCACATAATCTATCAATTTAGAATTATTATGAAGGAATGCGAGTATGTCATTGTTCAATCTGTTACAACAAAGTATTAGTTTAAGTGTTACAACATATTCTTTTTATACTCGTGAAATGACATTTTTATGAAATATGCTTTTTAAATTTATAATTACAATTCTAAAATCAATGTTGATGTCAATATTTTTATTACCACATTTATTGTTTCATATAGGTATAATCAAAACTGGACAGTATCATCCATTCTTAGATTTTAAGCAAACAAATTTTCTTTGTGTCTTTTGAGAGTTACTATATGTATTATATTTAAACCCAATAAATCTTTGATCATTGTCACTATCATAAGTAATCTAAATATGTCACGAATTTAATTATTTTAAAACGCGGTTCAGTCTTGTTAAACGTATGGATGAAATTTAAGGCTTTTAGATGTTCTAGACGACACGTTCGTCATCTCCAACGATTCAGAACCATCGTCTTCGGATGCACTTCTGTGATAATTGTTGGCTGTACAAAGGTCTGACATGCGATTCCAATTTTTAAAGGTCAACACTTGTTCACTATTTTGATCACTGAAATTTTCTGGCGGTGGTGGAGGTAAGGGAGGTGGAAGTGGTGGTGTTGAAGATACAGTTAGGCTTTCATTATGACAAATAGAAGTATCTTTAATAGTTTCTTCGTCGTAAACAGTCACAGCAACATGGCCTTCATTTAACCAATCTAACACCAGGGACCTGTGAGATTTTACAAACTGTTCTAATATATATAGACTTGGAGTGTCAGTTTGCACAGCCACATCTATACTTAAAGCATGAGATCTATGACTTGGACTATCGTCGGAAGCATCCCATCCAAACACTTCTGGAGGATGTGAAGAACTACGTTGAAGTACAGCAGTTTGTGCACGCTTGTTATTTTCCGGCAAATCTGGGTTAGATCGAGCCGGAACCGGATATGGATATCTGGATGCATTTGTGCTTGTAGTAGCTAACTCTTGTAGTGCTTGAATAGCATTCTTCACCTTAAATAAGAAAATAGAATGTCATAGAAGTAATGCTATTAACTTTTTTATCGAGTACTATATAAAGTTATGTCTTATGAAACTAAGATATGAGACTTATTTGTTAATAAAGATCTAATTTACTAAAAATGGCTGCATTTTTATTGTAATTTATATTGTCATAAAATCTGGTACAGTGAAACCTCCTTTAACGAAAACGCTGTGGACCAAACTTTGTCCGTTAAGAGGGGGTCTCGTTTAATTGAGGTTAATTTTAATCTATAAAAAATCCAGGTCGGTAGATGTACAGTTTAAAAGAGGTTTCGGTCTAATAGAGGATTTGTTGAAATGAGATCTCACTGCATTAATTGTTAATAATACATGATCAATTACTTTTTACTTTATATTGATTAAACTACCCCACATTTTTTTGTTAAATAATTTAAAGGAAAATTAAAATTGAGATTTTTTATTTACACTAATAGTCGACATAAAAATACAAATAAGATAATAAAATTAATCAGATATTATTTAAATATTGAAGGAACCATGTATATTTTATTAATAAAATTATTGTAAATTACCCGTCTAAAGTAAAAAATAGTTTCTTTGAGGATTTGTTTTGTCATCCTAAATAAACTACTTATTTTATGAAACATACATTATAAAATATTTTGAGAAAATCTAATGCTATTTATTATACAAAAATACCCTATAAAAATAAAAAACTTAATTTCTTCAACTTATTGGATCACAAAACACAAAGTTAATAATATATTACATAAGGCCAGCGAGTTAGCATTTTCATAAAAATAATGTTGTTTCATGTTAAAAGTTTATGCTCAGATGAATAAATTTTTCTATATAAATTTAAGGTAATAAAAAACTAAAATGTTTATTTAATGCCGTTTTACTTTATGTATTTTTACACTAAGTACCACATCATTATTCTTTATAAACATGTATATTATTTTGTGCTGTGGTTATAATGATCGCGTATTATTTTGTTAGGTTTGCAGCTATGCCACTACATTGTTGCGTAGGTATTTATATAAAAAAAATCATGTCTAGCTGTTACCCCTTCATACAAATTACTTTTTGGAGGATATACATAACAAATCAATTAGATGTTAATTGTTCGTTAAATCGATTATTGATACAATTATCATTTTGATGTAATTTTTATTTTATTTTTTATGTTCTTAGACTATTTTAAAAACATATTTAAGTTTATTGATTTTAATAATAAAAAAAATAACATTTAGAGATTTTTTTACAAAAAAATTTAATGGGTCGATAACAATGTAGACGGAGTATATAAATTATAAATACAGACTAGTTCTAATTATACCCACCCGCATTACATACTCATTATAATTACTAAAATGCTCATCCCAAAATTGTTATCGACCTATTAAAATTTCTTAATAAAAAAATTAAAAAACTTTATTTTATTTTATTGTGTTATTTAAAACAAATAATAAAAATATGTTTTTAACATAGTCTAAAATACAAAAATATTACAGCGTAATGAGATAATTGTATCAAAATGTATAAGAGTTGCCCGTTAATCTGTTTCAAACGGTATAAGCAGTTCATATTTTTATGATTATTAATTTTACAAAAATATTCATTATATCACTTACTTCTTGACTTAAAGTAGCTACATGGTAATGTAATGAAGTAACTTGTGTGTCTAGTCTATCAACGTTAACTTTTCTATGCTCGACATCACTTCGCGGGAGAGTTCTAGACCTACGTGTCAACACGAGTAAACAAATTGTGTTTGTGAAATAGCCTTTTTTTTATTTTATATTATTAATATAATTTATTATTATACTAATAATATTAATTATAATTGATATTAATAATAAATTATTTATGATTTATGTTGAAAAAAATACACCGAGTTCATTTAAAAATATTCTCCATGCAATAATCATATTTCTAACTATACTTTATTTTAAATGAACATAAAAGTTAGAAAAACAAATCAAACCAAAATAAATACAAATCAAAAACTTTTCTACTTTTTGCTCATGAAATTGTTAACCAGTTAGCAATTTCATTTTAAACTTTTGGAGTTTATGTAAAATATTTTCATTTAAAATATTCACAACACGAAATTCAGTTAATTATAAATACTGAGTTTTGAATAAAAGAGTACTAAATAGTAATTTCGTGATTAGCAAGTTTATTTACATAAATTTATGTTTAATATAATTTACACAAATAAAAGGACATAATATTTTCCAGGTAAAATCGTATTAATTAATTAAAATTATAAATAGATGAAATGATATTATAAAATAAAATTACCTTACGCTTTTTATAACATACTTATTTTCTTAAAAACATCAAAACACTGCTATTAGACTTTATAAGTTAATAATGCAAAATTAATGAAATTACTTAGATACAAAACGGAGATGAATTTTCTAAATATATTTTGAAGAATTAAATTAACTCTTTAATCTAATTTATAAAAATACAAAATATTTTAACTTCGTACAAATTAACCATTTGTTAGTTTGTTTTGAAATAGTTCATTAAAAGTGCGAATAATGAAAAATAATCTCTAAATAAACATAAAAATTTAACTAACATGCAATATCAAATGTGGGTCTAAAATAAAGAGCACTTTTAACAAGGTCTTTTAAACAAAAAAAAAGTAATAAATTGCGCTTGAAATTTAAACTTACAAAAAACAAATCACTGGTAATTTAATTTTGTATACTATTTATTAATTTCAAATTTGTGTTGAAAAAAAGCTATAAAAAAACAAAAATCAAACAAATTCATTCACCTTGTAATGTACCTTGTTTGCGACAGTTTGTTGGTATTATGTCTATTAGGACTGTAAGACGAGTGAATTGGTGATCTTGAAGGAGGCGATTTAGGCGATCCATCGTTTTCTTCTGGCAAATTTTCATCGTCTTCGCTTATTGATGGTAATGTTAGCGTTGGTAATCCATTTTGATCGACTTCCTTAGATTAAAAAAAAAATTGTTATTATTTGACTTTTTCAACTGTGAAACAAAACAATTTTTTGGTATTTAATTTGTATATTGGTGTAAGTATGTTATTAAAAATACAAAACAATAATAGGATCTACCATAAAGCTATTTTTTAATTTTTGAAGCATAATAATTGAGGATAGCTATTTAAAATTAAATTTTGAATATTACAATTGCCAATTTTTTTCTTTGAATGAGATCGAAATCAATTTAACCTAAAAATTTGGTTTGATTTTTATGGCGTAGAACAATATTCTTAGAGAGTTAACAATTTTATTCTTAATTTATTTATCTTCTAGCATTGTAATTGTGAAAACTGAACATATTGTTTTGTAACATAATTAAAATAAGGTAAATTACGCCGAATAGTTTTCACTTACATCGCTGATGGAATATACAAAATAAAATGTTTTACTGGTATAAATTTAATGCGAGTGTTATAAATCAAAATGTGCCGACAAATATTTTCCAAATTTCAATTAAGAAGTTTCTACACAGTTTTCACCAGAGTTTAAAAGGGATGTTGTTGTATACAATAAGAAGTAATGACAAAAATAATACATTTCAAATGTCTGGTATTTTCAATTGAATAATGTGTTATGTACTTTGTTAGGTTTAATTACTTCAGCCTCGTATCCTTCACGTATGTTATACGTCAAATCATGCTGTATATCATGTGCAAATTCTTGCTGATATTCTGGATACAACCGCAAAACTTCCACGAGACCCTGTACATTAATACACTTGAGATCACAGTAAGTTAGAGCTTTGACATCACAGCTGGACTTGACAACAATATCGCCAGATGTACCACCACCACTGGATCCACCGCCAGCAGTAGCGTTTGCATTACCAGATCCGCTGCTTTGTCCTAACCACATACTTATATCGCACCCAACTAAATCACCTTTACCTAGGGAAACAAATTTAGTAATATCATAGTTGATCTTTTAATCGTTAACTGAAAATCAATTTTAAACAGTAGGGCTTTTAAAATTAACAACAACCAAATATAAAATAAAAATTCGTTCTTTATGAAACTATGTTGGTTTTATTTAAAGTTTTGTATTGAAGGAATAAGTAAACGAAGAACAAAAAAACATTCAACGATATAACATCTACAATATTGATTTAATAATAATAAAAAGCATTATGAGATTTCATATGGAAATTTTATTTACCCAATATAGCTACAACCATTCCATTTTGGACGACTTCCATGGAACCGTTGCAGAGGTAATAAATTGAAGTAAGTGCGTCTCCTTTATGGATTAGATATTCACCTGGAGCGCAGAAATTACTTCGTATGTGCAACGACAATAGCTTTAAGCACCCTTGTGAGGCAGATTCGAAAATCGGTAACTGCAAAATTTCCCTGTGCAGGTGCATGGAAACATCACCTCTGAGTTCTTCCGGAAATTCTTTTAATGTCTGATACAAAAACTACAGATTACAAAGAGTGTTATTTGATCTTAAATTTATTGTTAACTTACCTCGTGTATATCAATTCCGTGATTAAGTGACCACATAGTCTGAAAATAGTCTTGCATCCTATGTTTAAGTTCACTTGGTACTTGGTGCAAAGTAAGAAAATCCTTTAGATCTCTCCATTTACTTTGATACAAGGAGCGTCTTGAGTACATACGCTGGATTATAGCTGTCACGTTACCAAAAACCACAGCGTGCATAAGTGCTACATATACAAATAAAAATCGATAAATTAGATATTTATACTCTATGTAAATTATTTAATTAGTAATCGTTATAGTTTACCTCCTATTAACATAGTGATTATACTAAATATTTTTTCTGTACTAGTAGTGGCAGATACATTGCCAAACCCGACACTGGTCAAACTTGAACATGTAAAATACAGCGATGTTATGTATGATTCTGAATGTGACACATTTTCCACATCAACTTTAAGTCTTTCGGCTAACGTATGTAACCATCCTGTAATACAAAAAAGTACATAGAAAACTATTTACCGAATTATGGTAGTTTTATAATTTAAAATGATTATTTTTAATTTTAAGTATTCATACTTAAAATAAAAAATATTAACTGTTGTTTAAATTGAAAATTGTAAAAAAAATGACCTCATACGTCAGTGTACTCATGTTATTAAATCATAAAACTTTAATTCACAAAATGTAACTTTAATTAAAACTAGAAAATCCACTTTAAAATATCAACTAACATTATTATTTATAATACACGATAAAAAAATAATGTAAATATCTCATCAATTAAAGGTTTAAAATTGAACATTTTTATATCAAGTATGAGTAAAAAAAAAAATCTTGTATAAAACTATCAATACGTAAATTTAAATCTACTATTAAGTTTATGTTTTGAATAAGCAATTTGTATTTTTATCGAAATATATTTAATATTTGTTTTAGTGTGATGTGTTTATGCGAAAAATTAAATCTTCCAGAAATGGAGATATGTAGGAGGCAGTTAGGTTTGTACTAATGTGTTTCTAGCAAAATAGGTGTTAAAGTTTCTTTAAATTAGTGAATTTATGTAATATGATAATAACTGTCATCATTAGTTGTTAGAATAACCAAGTAATTTGAGAAGTAGAATCTTTAGTAAATAGTATTATATTTACAAGATAGGGATTCTATTACTTTTACACATTCTCAGGATATAAAATTTATAATTTCATATCTATGATTTAAGCTTAAAAAATGAAATATTTGACATTATGCAACTTTTAAATACTGTTGTTAAATGTTTGTATTCAGTTTATACATATAGGTCTCTTTAAATCGTTATTTTTATTTTATGATACTTAAGATATCACTATTTTATTTCAATATTTATATAAAATTAGAGTATTTTTTTAGCCTTACTCACAAAGGTAAAGCAATGCTTTTGGATATCTAAAGTTAAGTAAATAAATGATTCAGAAAGAAGTTGAATAATTTACTGCAATGATTTTGCTAAAAGTTATAAAAAATAATTTACTTATAGATAATTTTAGCATTAAAAATGCTATCTCTATAGTTTTTTTAACAAATTGTGTAAAATTATTTGAAGGAATAAGAAAATTTTCTGTAAACATTTGAGAAAATAAATATTAAACATAAATAATAAACATGGCTATTGACTTATTAGCCAACAAACTAATAAGTCCTTTGACNCTCTATAGTTTTTTTAACAAATTGTGTAAAATTATTTGAAGGAATAAGAAAATTTTCTGTAAACATTTGAGAAAATAAATATTTTAAATAAACATGGCTATTGACTTATTAGCCAACAAACTAATAAGTCCTTTGACTTTATATACAGGGTGTTCAGTAAAAAAGAAAACAGGTCATTTGGCTTAAACAATAAGAACAATAGAAACCTATTTCCTTTTTTTACTAAACATTTTAAATATTAACTACGATTTCATTATTCTTCTGTATTTCTTTCTAGGATTTTTAAATATTATTGTTTTAATACAGCGTTCTATCAATTTCATTTGGTATAAACTAATGCACTTTNTAAATAAGGAAACGAATTTCTATTGTACTCATTGTTTGTAACAATTTAACTGTTTCCTAACTTACTGAACACCCTGTATATTCAGGTGTTCAGTAAAAAAGAAAACAGGTCATTTGGCTTAAACAATAAGAACAATAGAAACCTATTTCCTTTTTTACTAAACATTTTAAATATTAACTACGATTTCATTATTCTTCTGTATTTTTTTCTAGGATTTTTAAATATTATTGTTTTAATACAGCGTTCTATCAATTTCATTTGGTATAAACTAATGCACTTTTAAGAAAATTATCCTTCGTTTAGAAATATTAATTTTAATTAATATTGAAGTAATTATAACGTTAATTTAGTTACTGTTAACTTTTTATTTTGTACACAATACAATGTTATTTCAGATTAAGATTGTGGATTTCGTTATAATCATAATTCTTTTGTTGTTATAAGTCGCAATGTTAATAACTATATTTTGATAAAGTTGATTCAGAGTTCATTTGCTGTTGTATTCATGTAATGAGTTCTTCTACGTTGATGCATTAGTAATTAAATTGGCAAACGCTATTCGGGAAGTTTTGATGTATTTTATAAACTGCTAATCGTGTTAAGGATGTTACAAGCACCGGGTTAAATAACGAACACTTAATAATAGAAGATTAAAAAAGCATTACGGAAAATGTTATAAAATTATTAATATTGCTTTATGCAAAATGTATATGAACGAGTAATTTCTGGATTATTTATAATTTTTTTATTTTTCGGAAACGCATTCTACAGATGTAACATCTGTTGGGTTGAGGGAAAACGAATTACATGCTTAAAGCGACGTGTGTCACTCTTGTCGGTACCGTAACACTTGTCCGTTTCCCAAGTGGATAATGTCAACTTGTACAGCCCAAACGAAATATTGTAAATTAAAAAGTCAAGCGAGTTGCATTGCGATATTTCATTGTACATAATCTTACGGACAAATTTCGACAAGCACGTGAGCCACATACGTGTATTGAAAACGAATATACAGAAATAATAAAGCCGTTCTGAGCTCAGTGTTCTAATGAATCTGGTAACGCGTTACATTGTAAAGGAGAAATAGAAGAGTACTTTTATGACTACGTGGAGCCTACGGCAAGTGAAATAAAGATGTGATGTTTAGTGTTTCCACCATAGATGATAACTAAATACTTGATAAAATTATTTCACATCGTATTATAAAAATAAAATATATCTGTAGTATGGTGGATTTTATATCAATAAAAAAATGAACGAATGCGAGAATGAAATACAATCATATTGAATACTTGTTCTTATAATTAGTTCCTATAACTAATGATTTATACAATGAAGTTCATTATATATTCAAAAGTTTTATTATTTGCGTTCGTTAAATTATAACAAATCTCGATGAAATAGAAATATATAATGAATTTATTACAAATTTGTATAATGTTCACTTTTTATTTAATGTAAAAAGTTTATAAAGAGTTCAAACAATTGAGAAGTTAGGACATTTTTTTATTTTTCTATTAAATATGAAGAATCTATTATAAGTAATTTTTTGTAATAATAATTAGTATTAAAAAATATAACATATGTTTATTTTTTTGGTTGTTTAATTTTTAAAATGATATGACTGGCCTCCCATCAAGCTCCGATATTTTGCAGAGAGTTAAAATAAAGTATTTTAAAAGTTAATAACATTTTACAATAATGACTGGAGGTGAAGTGCGGGTCTGTTTAATTTTATTTACAAGCATTTATGAACTACACTATACCTCCCGTCATAGTATAAAAATGTTAATGCCTTTTAAAATACTGATCCAAAAGTTGTTAGCAATAAGTTTTAATTTTCACAGCTAGATCATTTTCTAATTTTTAAGCTACTTAAACATATATGTTTCCAATTAAAAACTTTAATTGATACAGTGAGAAATACTATTAAATTCTGAGAATAAAAACTTTTAATACGTTTTATAATTTTAAGATATTGCGTAAGGTTTATCACTTAATCAATCACCTTGTAATAAAAATGCAGCATAGTTAATTAATATTTTAGTTCGAATAAATTTAATTTTTTTAAATGTTATTATGTAATCAACAAAGTTATTACAAATAAAGTAGTTGAATGTTATTTTTCTAATTTAATATTACAGGCTTCAACAATAAGGTGATTAGCTAAATTTGCTTAATGATATTTTCTTCGAGCACAAAAATAATAGCCGTGAGAGTAATATCACTAAATGATAAAGAAATGAACGAAATTTCTCTTATTGAATATTAATTATTTTGGTTGTTGTTTTATAATACAAAAATAATAAAAAAGAAATTACGTTAAATAGTTTGCTAACTTAACCGGTTCTCTTCTACATGAAATTTATCTTAACTAAAATAGACATGTCAAAATAAGTTTTAGCTATACAATCTAGTTAATCTTTTGAATACTTTCAAATATTAAGGTTAATTCTAATACGATAAAAGTCCCTGAAGTTTTGTCGGTATGACAATATTATGTTTAATATGTAAATTTACAATTATAAATTATTGCATCTTACTATTAATTTTTATTGAATATCCGATTAAAGTAATTTCTGTATAAATAATAATAATAAATTGAGTTTTTAAGGACCAGAACTTTAATTTAGACTACTATTAATGACACCGTTGACATTATAGTTTGAAGTAAGAATTTAACTCAGTCCAATTATTGAGTCGAATTGCTTCTAACTGTTCATTTATAATAAATACATTAAATATGAAATTCTTTGAACTGAAATAGAAGCTGTCTTGGTAATTTACAATTGTCATATTTAAGTGTTTAGTGGAAAATTATGTAAAAACGCGGTTTCAGAAAGAAAATGTAAAGAGACAATTTAGTGAAAAAAGCAAATACCCACAAACCTAATGACGATTTCAGTATTTATTACGTGGTGCTTGGCAGTATTTAACGATCAACAGGCAAAGTATACAAATCCTCACCCTTCTGTGAGTTATGTGAATTTAACGCGCTTCTACTGTTTCACAATAATTTCCAATAATGCGAGGCCATTGGTTTAATTTCAGCAACCACCACAGTGATTGTCAAATATTTATACAAAACTATAGAGAGATAGGAGATACGTGCATCAATAGTTTGTATACTTTGTGTGCTCAGTAATTAATAATATAAATCTATTTTGAACATTTAGTTTCATAGAAAACATAATCCTAATAATTAAAATTGATTATAACAAAACACAATATTGTTGAAATGAAAAAATTAATTATTTTGTACTGATCAACTTTAATAAATGTTTAGAGATTTTTTCGGCAAGAACAGGGATATTTTCAGAAATAAATTTAGTTAATGGCTCATACATTATGGAGTCTTAGACCTTAGCAACCCAAACACCTCATTGTCAACTTTTGTGTACCCAGGAGGGCGGTAAAAATTGATTATTAATTATTTATGATGTAAAATTGTTAAGTTATTCTCATTTAACTTATATTCAATAAAATTATAGTTTTATTTTGTAACTAATATATTCTTATGTACCAAGACTAATATGGATGCTTGTAACTACATAATATTTTATCTTATTATTTATTCCAAAAGATTTATCTATAAAAAACAAGGAAGTAAATTAAATTTATTAAAAGTACTATAACCACTTTTTAAATTAAATAATAAAGTATTACAAAAAAAAAAAAAATTGTTATAAATGATCACTTTACTTGAATTGAAGTTTTAATGCTTATATCCTAACGAAATATTATTGATAAAATTATCAAAGTAAAATAAATAACTCTGTATGTGAATTTCGTTAATTATCAATTTAATTTTTATAAGATTTCACCAGGTGCAGTCTTAGGATTAGTATGCTTACTTAAAGTAATTTAAATTTCGATTCCAAAGACCCCGAGTAATAAATAAAGCTAATTAATAACATGTAAAATAATTATTCAAATATTAATAACAAGTAACCGACAAACATCAATACAATAACATATATATTTCTGATAGAATTTATATATATATATATATAATTTATAAGTTTCAATGAATAAAATTGTATTTTTAATTTAAAATGATTAAACTAAGTTTTAACAATAAAATTCTGTTTGTAGATAAAGCTTTTTAAGCTGTGATTCGTAACGACCAATTTCAATAGTTATTCTATATGATTATATAAATTAAATTTTATAATATAATGAAAATCAATTTTAAGACATAAATAATTTAAAAATAAAAAATTCACGTATTTTCTGAAGTTATAAATTAGGCTCATTCATTGAAGGGAAGTTTTTAAGAGCACAAATATAATTGATTGAAAAATAACGTTATCCATTAAAAGTTTTCAAAGAATCACGAGGAATCGTGCTTGTGAGAATCACGTTGTTTTTTATAAAACCCACATAGTCTATAAATTAAACCTAAGTGCAATGAGTGCGGATAACGTCACACGTACAATTCCTTGTAAACTTATATTTAATCAATGTAATATGGTTTTAGTTTTTCACAATTTTCTTTTTGTACAAAAAAAAACAGTAATTTGTTAATTTTATTCAAATTTGTATCTAATTTATACTATAAATTAAATTATTTTACTTTACAATTAAATTAAAAATGTTTTTGAAAATAATTTTTAAAAATTTTTCTTAAAATCTTACTAAGTGTTACATTTAATTTAAACATCTCTGATTGTATACATATTAATTTCATTTGTTAAGTAACAGTTTTAAAATTTGTTATTGTTCTCGAATTAAATCAAAACTGTTAAAATGTATAAAAAAAAATTAATTAAGGAGCGTTTTTAGAAATCTAAGATAACTTGCCTTATTTTCTCTAAAACGGAAAAAAAAGAAAAAATAATTTTCTATTTATTGTTGTTGAAATAGCGTAGAATTATGGAAAATTTAGCTTTTTACGAATTTTCATTTTATTTATTTTAACCTTATTTCACAGCAATATTTTTTAATACGCATCTGGGTTAATTCAAACCTTATATATTACCTAAGTCCCAGTTGTCTCCGTAAAGCCGCCGTTCACTTTCGGCGATAACATACCAAATACATGCAAACCAATGGGCGACCAACGTGAATAAAAGCATCAATAGTGTAAGGATCATAGCACCATATTGAGAATATCTATCGATTTTTTGTAAAAGTCTTGCTAACCTCAGAAGTCTAGTTAACTTCAACAAGTGAACTTGACCTGAACCAGCTTCCTGCGAATAAAAACATTTGAAATTATATGAATTGCCATTGTAGACTGATTTTACTAAATTAAACCAATCAAAGTGTATAACGTTAGTTTAATATTTGTTTAAATATTATTTCGAAATCCTTTTTGGAGGTTAAGGGTTGTAACATGTTTATTTGCTCGAGTACATACATCAATATTAATAGTTTATTTACAGTCCCTACAGGTATGGATGAAATATTGCCGTAAAATGAAAAATGATCAGAAAAGTTGAATTTAGTTATTTATTTTATTTTTGGGTATTAAATGTTTTCGATAAAAATGTTGGCATGTGTTCAAGTATAAGATTGAATTTCATCCGTCCGTATAATAGAGTGTTGCGTAGTAAATAATTCAATTTATTGAAAAATATTTCTTATAAGATTAATCAATACACATTATTTGTATCTGAGATTTCAGGAATGAAAACATAAAAAATAAAAATCGTAAAACGAGAATGATATTATTTATCATGTCATATAAAATGAGCGAGTTGAAAAGGTGTATTGTATGAATATATAATGTACATATATTTAGTTTCAAATAATTTCACTTTCATTTAGTAAAATTAGAATTTGCGTTATTATAGGGCTGACTAATAAAAAATATAATTTACTATAGGACACTGATAAGAAAAATACATTTAAAAATATCTATGAAAACTTCGTAAATCACCATTAATAATAACATATATTTTAAGTTAAATACTAAACAATGATTACTAATGAAAACAATTTTAATTTATTAAAAAAAAAAAAACGTTGAAATTTTTTTATAAATCAATATATTAAAACAAATCAATTTTACCGTATTAATACAAAAGTCTTTGAAAACCTATTGTTTACTTAAAAGTTTTGACTTGGTAATTTAAAAAAGAGAACACCGACATATTTTAGTTGAAGTATAAACGAAAATTTACGAATAACTTAAATTATTATCAAGTAATTTATGCTAAAAAAAAAATGGTGAACTTTTATCACTTTGCACGTCATTAGCAGTATTAATATTGATGTCGCAGTGCTCATTATAATGTACAGGAATTGTATTTGGGTCTAAAAAACTTTTACGCTTTTACGATTATGGAGTAAAAGAAAAAGTTTTCTGTAACCCGATGTATCACTGTAGTATGGCTAAATTTCTCACATATTTGAAAATAAATTGACTGTGAACCGCCGCCTATAGATATTTAGAAGTTAACGAGTGTAGAAACAACGGCAATGGCGGAAGTCGACAAAACCCGTAAATTTTTCTACGTACTTTCGGTGTAAAAACTGCCGTTGTTTCTTTGCCGCGCTCGCTTTCTCTGCAATACTAAACTACCCGCAACCGATGCAACTGCCACTACTCCATTTACTAGCTTCCTCTGATCTCTTCTAACAAAAGACCATGTGATATATATACTTACGTCTCCACTGTACACGTCGGACGCGTACAACAGGTCGAAAGGCAGAGCGGCAAATAAATCTACCACAAACCAGCTCTTCAAGTAATTGAAGGCGATTGATTTTGAATCCGACACCACTTCGCCCTTTTTGTTCACGAACGTCGTTCGGAAATTGAATAGAATATCTGCCGGAAAACAACAATTCAATTAGATGTACATTACGGCGGTAATAACACAATAAAGCTAAAATTGTATCCCTAAGTAAAACGGCGGTATTGAGTCTGTTTTCCGTATTTAAATGATCAAAAAACATTTCCCGCGGTATTCAATCGAAATCAAATTGTCTAAGTACCCGTTTTATATTATCTATTTTATACACAGACTGCGTTCATATTTCATTTATTCGAATTGTAATCTTATTCTACTTTAATTTTAAACAGTTACTTAATGACGATTAAATATTCATAATTTTTAATTTCTTAGAATATTAATTTAATGTAAACTGATTATATTCAACATCAGACTTGTACTGGAAGAGACGTTAAATCTTCAAAGTAATTGCTTTAGTTCTATAAACTTACCTTCGGCAAAAGCCAATTTCAATTAAATAAATTATAGGAAACTTTCATGTTATTTTTGAAATTTAGTATGTTATCTGAAGTAACCTCTTTAAGACTTAAGTTGAATCGACGTTTTGTAGACGCTTTTCAAAACAACTCAGTCCATATTGATAGGCAAGAAATTGTTGTAATTTCAATTTATTTTTATTTTACGTTTATACAGCAAGAGATATAAATACAGTTTGTTAAACTTTGCAGAGAAATAAAAAAAAAAAATCCTGCAAAAAGAAGCGAATAACGATGTAAGTTTTCAAGTTTTAGTTGAAAACGTAGGTAGAATTTCTTGGGGCAAAATATTGTGCTATTCTGCAAAATACAAACACATTTTTCAATGAAACATGCCACAATGACAAAAAAATATTTACGAATTTTAATGATTTAATGTACAATGAAATTTAATTATTTGCATGAGAAAAGTAAAGTCTGAGAATATTTGATCCAATTTTTAAGAATTACATTTTCAATAAATTTTCGTACTTACAAGAAGAAAATGAAACTTTTATTAAAACTATTTAAGCTAATAAAAATATCATTTCTCGTTATTATGAATTATTTTATTCAGAGAAAATGATTGAATATACTATTTTACTTGATAAAATAATTTGAATTTTTTTTTAAAGTCTACTCAAGCGTAAAAAATTAAAATTTGCAGAAAAAACTATAAAGTTTTATTTTATATAAGAGAATACGATAATTTTTTACGAGTTTTTCACAACTTTTATTTCTGAACTTTGATAAGCAATGCTCTTTTTGTAATATACTTCTTACCCGGAGGTACTAAGTTTTGATATGCTGATTCAGAGATTAGTTTCATTAAAAATAATTATGATCTTTTTCAGATTTTTATCGCCAAATTCATCTTAATATAATCATTATTTTTACAAATATTAACTTCTTTAACTGTAATATTTTTAGCGTTAAATTAACTATACTCAAAAAGAAGAAACTTTATAATTTATTTAATAAATGAAGGAGAAATATGTGTGCATCTTATCGAAAATAAAGAACTTGAAATGCATTGATCAAGATGTTACGACTTCAACATAGTAAAATTAAAGGTTAAAGGTAGACGATAAAATATCGTAGTAACAAAAAATATTTAAAATATTCAAGCCCATAAACAAAGATAGCTGAATGAATATTTCATCCATTCTTTTTGCCTCAAGTTTGGTAACTTATGCACCATTAAAGAAAATAAATGTTTTTTTTATAGGTAATATAAATAAAATCGTATTGCATTATAGTACCTACCCGTATTAAAAAAGCAAATCAATTTTTTCCAAAACTCATTTTAATAACCTAATATATAAATTACGATAAGTCATAATGTTTCCAATAACTGACATTTTGAAAGATAAAAATAATTTTATAGGTATACTTCTATGAATTTTTATGCAATAAAAAAATGTCACCTAAAGAAGTTGCCCTAAATTAGAAATTATATTACAGCACGTTTATCAACAGTTAAAAATAAAATTTTTATTGAACATTTTAAGAGCCGTCTGCTTTATGAGACTATTGATGATTTTTATATTTTATATAGATCGTGCAAATATAATTAAATGAAATATATATATATATATATATATATATAAATAAAACATTTTTAAAGTAATATAATTCAACGAGTTTAACGGTAAGTAAAATGTTAAAAATTGCTACCTGTTTGAAAAAATTCCTATATTCAATTTTATTTCATCGATGCTATTACATTAGAAATGTTTTTTTTCACGCAAGAATTTTAATTTGCCGTTACTAACATGTCACTAAACAATTTCTGATAGATAAAGAAAATTAAATATGTATTAAACAAAAAAATCTTATTGGTGTTTCAGCAAACTACAAACGGTTAGGTACATAAAAATTTTATTTCATTCGGGTAAAAATGATAACACATAATTTTTATGAACAATTAAAAAGTACCTAATTAATAATATTAAAATAACTATAAAATAATTATATTTTCAATAAAAAAAAAAGTGATTTATATAATTATAAAAATTTGTTGGCGGCTGAATAAATTATTACTGTTAACATGTATTTTCAGGATTTAATTAAAAATTCAATTATTGTATTGTTCTCATAACAACATGGTATATTAAATAAGATACTGTATTTTTTATATAATGACTGATTGTTTCAATTATAAATAACAAGTAATAAGAAAACACTAGGTGCATTTTTTTAAAAATTTTTTTGAATTGTTTAAAAAACAAGTAAATAACTAATGCAAAATAATAAAAAAATTAAATATAAAAATTCTTATATTGTAGGTAATAGTTATATATTTTTAATCAAGTGATAATCAAGAATTAAAATAAAAAATTTTGTTATCATTAAAATTTCAAAACTCGCATAAAGTTTGCTTTTCTATTAGTCAATCGCTTCGTTAAATTAATTGATCTCATTTTTAATATATATATATCATATTGCAAATAAAATATATTATATTATCAATAGATAAGTTTATTAAATTAAAAATTTATATTAATTACAATCCACCCGAGAAATACGAAAAGTCCCAAAGCAGAGTCACGGGTAGTCGAAGAAAGTTTGGGTAGACCTAAGAACTGCATTGATCCTACTTCGGGACTTAATCTAATAGACATTGTAAAGTGAACCACTCAGTGGGTTCATTTATTGAAGCGTACAGTGCTAATTGAACGAATACTGTTCTCACTGAAACAAAAGTAAATTTTATGAATCGTTGACTAATTCTTCAGTTAATTGTAAAATTATTTTTTTTAAATGATACCTTTTGAGCCCATATAACATAGTATATGTTAGTATAACCAATTTCTGGATTTTGTGTATCATAAAGCGTTATTATATCACAATAAATTATTTATACTTTTTAACATTACTCCTTGAAAATAAAATTACTTAACTTTGTGTTACTTTTTTTAAATTTTAAATTAGAATTATAAGATAACTTAATATTTAATGACATTAATATAAAATTATAATTATGTTATATATATATATATATATATATATATATAGAGCATATGTCTATTTCATGATTAATATTTAGTATAAACCTGAGAAAATATTTCTTCGTTTTAGAATTAGTAATATTAGTGCTGTTTATTTATAATAAAATATAGTACGTGTAATATTTTTGTATTTATATCATATTGAAATTATTATACAGTTTATATTAAAAAATAATTACCAGAAAAATGTTTACTGATATTTGAAAAATTGCTTATACATATTTATAAATAAACAAGTACATTAATATGTTGTAAACTAACTAGATTATTATTCAATTATTAAGTAGTTCTAATATGAAAACATATGTTACGTTTTGTCTTATATTGTTTTTTTAAGAATTTTTTAATGTGTTATAATATTTAAAAAAGTGAAATATACATAATAAATGATTAGCTAAACAATTGACCTACCAAAAATGTTTATTTTACTATAATAATAATACAACACTTTAAAATAAAAAATAATTGGAATGCAAAATAATTCTTTTGAAGTCATCACTTAATTAAAATAAATATTTTATCGCCTCAACTTTTCAAGTATTAAAAAATAAGCAATTATAATTGTAGGACATTTATATTTAATGTAATTATATGTTTTTGTCAGTTTAATTATCATAATAATTAAAATTGATGAATATTTACCATAAAATGTTATTTTTAGTAAAATAAATTTTCTTCTGTTTAATGACTAATTTAAAATAAGAAACAGGTAGTCTAGTAATTATAAGAAAATTTAATTTTTAGGTATAGGAAAAAATGAATCTATAAAATGTACAAGAATTAGAGAAAGTTTGATTAACATGAAAAACATAACAATAATAAAAAAAAATATCAGATATAAATATGTTTTGAGTATTTAATATACTAAATTTTAATTAATATTATGATACATGTGTAAGTTAATAAAAATAATAATTTTGCGGAGAGATTTTGATTAATAAGATTCTCTGAATTAGATTTAATCATCAATGATCATAAAAAACCTAATAACTCCATATGCCTATATTTTTAATCACAATTATAAATGTATTATCTTTTTTTTATTTAATTTAAGTGAAAGGTGATTTAAAAAAATATGATTCAAGTAATTTGGTAAAATCTTTAGCACTTAATTATTCAATTACATTTTTAGTCGCATGTTTATCCAATACATTTTATATTTTGACAAAATCCATTTGAAACGATTCGTTAGATTTTTTCGAACAGAATATCATTATTCAAATTTACTCTGATAAAATAAATGAACAAAATGAATTTGAAAGCTAATATAAAAAAATAAGTATAACGTTATATACAAGTGATAGCTCAAAAAAAAAAAAATTCAAGGATTGCAAGTTGAAGTTCACGTTACAGAAATCGGAAGAGGATCTTTTTACAGATACCTGAAATGGATTTTTAATGTAGTTTCTGCCGAAAAAAATATGATAAAATATAATACGGTGAATGATGAAACTCAAACCTAAACGATTTTATATTTTCAATTCCATGTGATATGAATTATGGTTCTTACTTATAAGGGTATCTCCTAGCTTATGTAAAGAAGTTATAGTATGTATTTTAAGGATTATG